TGGTTCCATGAGATTAATAGTCTCAACTGGAAACTTTTTTAAAAAGAGACAGTGTTCTGTTCTGTTGCCCAGTGTAGAGTACAGTAGAATGATTATAATTCAGTTACCTCAAATTCCAGGCCTTATGTGATTGATCCTTCCACCTCAGCCTTGTGAAATGTTAGAATTACAGACATGAACAACCATGCCTAACCTGCGTACCATTAGAACCTGAAAAAGTAATCTTGAAGGTATCCAGAAGAAATAAATACGAATGAAAATATTTAAGAAACTTTTGAATAATTCAAAGGAGGATACTACCTGCCAGAAGTTAAAATGTATTTTTATAATTTACATATGTAATTCTTATGAGGTATAATCGCAGTCAGAAATAGGCATATTAATGAGATTAGAAAGTCAACAAACACCCATAACATAGAAAACACAGATTTTTCAATAATCAGACCTGGGACAAGTGGCCAACCATCGCCAAAATAATGGTTTTTTAAAATTTCAAAATAGTACCTTGAAATAAGTCCTTGTGTATTAAACATCTTAATTTTAGAAATTATATTATAAAATGTAGATAAATGTAGATAATTATCCATCTTAAGAAAACAATTTTAAGCACACATGCAAGTCTAAAAATCTGTTGAGAAAGGAGATAGAAAATTATATGAACATTTTTAAAAAGTGTGGGTCAAAGTTGCGTGAAATAAAATTTTAAGTTAAGGCCGGGCACGGTGGCTCATGCCTGTAATCCCAGCACTTTGGGAGGCCAAGGCGGGTGGATCACAAGGTCAAGAGATCGAGACCATCCTAAGCAACAAGGTGAAACCCTGTCTCTACTAAAAATAGCAAAAAAAATTAGCTAGGCATGGTGGCGCATGCCTGTAGTCGCAACTACTCGGGAGGCTGAGGCAGGAGAATTGCTTGAACCCAGGAGGTGGAGGTTGCAGTGAGCTGAGATTGCACCATTGCACTCCAGCCTGGGTAACAAGAACGAAACTCAAAAAAATAAATAAATAATAAGCCTTCAACTTAGAAAACGTAATTATGATATATGGGACCTGCCAAAGGCTAATATCATTGGTAACTACCAAAATACAAATATTTTAAAGGGCTGTGAAATTATTCATATAAGAAGTAGATATGACCAGTGCACTAATAGAAGTTCAAACTCACTATTCACAAATTGTGTATTTAGGAAAATACACAATTTCATGTATTTTTATGCGAATACATGAAAACCAAAAAGCTGAAATGCTATTTTTAACTTATAAATAGATAACTTCTGAACTTTTAGGAAAAGCTGATCTTTTAAATGTTATTTTTGTTACACTCTATTACTTTTCCTTTCTTGAATGCTATTGGTCAATATGTTTGAAACATTATCTCCAGGAATCTATTTTAAATAAATAAATGAAGATAGAAAAAATATAAATGCATAAAATATTCTTTGTAGATTTGTTTATAGAGCAAATAGAAGGCATATAAAGTAGAAATAATTTATTTATAATTTAGTTCTTAAATTATTGATTATATTAGCAAAACTTGGCATTGTGGGTAAAAAAGACAGGAAGTCAAAATATTTAAGACTTAATCTTATACAAAGGGAATCAGTAAGCAGTATTTATTATTAAATTCTTGGTATTTCTAAGTAGAGATGATTCTTGTTGAGATATATTTTTGTAATTTGTGAATCATTAATTACAAAATAATTTTCAGTTTGCTAAAATACATATTTCTAGCAAAAAAAAAAGAAAAGTAAAAATATGGTACATTTAGCATATGAAAGAATAAAAGGAAAACTATAAGGAAACATTTTAAAAAATGTAATAAACAATAAAACAGAAGTAAAGGCAAACATCAGATATGACAGTTAAACTTCTTTAATACTAGACAAGATTTTAGATGAAGTAAAAATAAAATCCAGTTTCTTGCTATTAAAAAATAACCATGAACAAAACACAGAAAAATTTAAAAAGTAAAGGGAGGACTAAAGATACATCAGTCAATAAAGTAGCAGATATGGCAATATTAATATTAAAATAGAATTAAAAAAATTAAGAATAGCAACAGTTTTTAAAATCAAATCTTTATATAATAATAATATGATAGTTATATGATATAGCAGTAAATTCTACAAATAAAAATAACTTTTTAGTGGAAGCAATTCACAAAATATCAATTATATTGGAAAATTTTAGCATATTACTACTCTGAAGCTTTGAGAGAAAAAATATAAGTACCAAATATATGAATAATATAATTATTAGTTTGATCTGATAAATATATTTCCATTATTTTCCTCTATGATAAGAGAATGTGTTTTTCTTCAAAATTTAAAACATTTTTACAAATTGATGATTTTGAAAGACAAATTTAAATTAAAATATTCAAACACACAAAAAATTTTAAATATTCTCCTTCTAGAGTAGAAATTTTGAGTCAAATAGAAAATCAAGAATGCATTTGTAAACAATTAGAGAAACCTCACTGATGCTACAGCATGTCCAAACTTAGGAATCATAAAGCTGTACAAGGCATCACATTAATCTTTGATTTACTAAATGAGAGTGTACAGGTACAAGCCTACAACTCAATAATTTAGGAAAATGTTTTTAAAAATATGTCTAAAGAAAATAGAAGAAAGAAAGTGACAAAATTAAACAAAAAGTGAAACAATTAGGTAGTTTAATTGACACACCCTGTTTGGGCAATTCAATTAATCCAATTTAAGTCACCCCACCTATTAAATGACATTGCTGTAGCTTTTCCTGACGAAAGGTTCTAGTGAATCAGATGTTCAGTGGGGATGCTGGTCACCTCTAGGGGCCATTGCTGCAGAATAAGAGAATAACGTTTCCCATTTAACTTGGAGCGATTGTGGGATCCTACACATCAATCACAGCTGTACCTCAAAGTTTGGTTTTGGAACTAGGGAATTTCTTTGACTTCTGAAATAGAGTTTGGTTTGTTGGAAAAAAAAAAAAAAACGAATCATGCTTTCTGAGGCATAAAAACTCTTCTTATCGCTGTCAGATGAGTTTATCTAAATTATGAGGGTTCCTCTTAGGAAATTTAATTTCCCACTAAATGATAACCTCATTTGTTATACAGCTGAGTTTAATATGTGTAATTCCTCTGTAAAATCAATGGTTATGCCTAAAAATATGCTTCCTTTAAACTGACCTTCAGTTCTTTCATAAAAAAGATGATCATTTAATCATCCTTTGTGCTATATTTTTCAAGTTATTCAAGAATAAATTGGAAACTATTCTGTTTGGAAATTTACTTGAAAAGAAGTTATTTTTCAAGGTATTGTGACCAAAAGCCTCGAAAAATTAAGATGATGTCAAAGGCAAGATGAAGAATTTGAAGTTTAATTATACCTCTACAAAGAAAACTCTTGACAAGTGTACTCACTTACTCATTCAGTAAATATTTGTTATGGGTAAGATTCATACAGGGATGACAAAAAGGATTCTTGCTCACAAGCTAGCAGGGCAGCAGCAGGTCTGAAGTAGGCCTGCTGGAAACAAAACTGGAAATAAAAATTAAAAAGTTTTTTTATTTTCAAAAATAGCAAAATATAAAACAATCGAGCATCACCAATTCAAATAAATTGACAAGGTTAATATGTATTTAGAGAGCATTTCGTTCTTTCTCCAATTCCAAATTTTCCATCTCCTTTTCTTCCCACTTATATTTGCAAGATTGATATATAAAGGGAAAATTCAAAGAAAACACAAGAGTTTGGTTTGATCACTTCACCTCAAGGTGCAATGGCTTGCACCTGTAGTCTTAGCTACTCAGGAGGCTTAAGCAGGTGGATCGCTTGAGCTCAGGAATTCAAAGGCAACATAATGGGGCAACATGAATGAGGTAACCATATTCTTGAGGTTGGCCTTCTAGTTGGAGTCAAGTCTATTTGAGGCCTTCAAGAAATGTCTCAAATAGACTTCTCTGTTGGGAGTGTCCTGTTGATGTGCGCTGATTGTTCTAAAGACTACCAAAAACTGTGTTGCGATTCCAAGTTTCCATAATTCTAAAGGATTATTATCCTTGATCATCTGACTTAAATGTTTTGAGTTTCTTTGCTAGCCCTACAGTATTTCAAAATATAAATCAACAACATTTGAAAAAACAATATGCTAAATTATTTGTGTGGTTTATAGACGTTGATATGGATGGTTTGAAATACACAGATAAAGACAACTATAGGAGCAAACTGATCCAGTGAAATAAAGTAATATAGAGACATTGCAAATCATAGTAGCAGTTTATTTAGTGTAACTTTATAGGGTCATGTTGGTCTGGTGGAAAGATAACTTTAGATTTAAATCTCGGTTTAATTCTTTCTGTGTCCCTCCAAGGTTAAGCAATGTTTCTAACCTCTCTCAGCCTCAGTTTCATCTGTAAAGTGATCATTCAGATACTAAGAGTGCTATACAGATTAGGTAATACAATTTTTAGAGTGGCTGATACATAGTAGAATTATGGGTCCCTGTTGTAACCTTGAAAATCTCCTGAGTAAGTAAGGGTCCTTCTTCTGTGCATTTGACGGACTCGGTGGCCTCACTTCTAACCCTTTGTCTTTCACCTAGTCTTCTCTGGATTGTACTAGACTAGCAGAATGCAGACAGAATTGGATGGTGAGCCAGCAGTAGCTGACTAGGATGCCTCAATAGTGTGATCTCTGTCTTAAGTCTGCTTTTCTTGGAAGGATTAAGCCTTTCTTTACAGCTATGGTGGAGGAAGAAACATAACATGTAATAGAGCTAAAGATTAAAGATGTAGGACTGCTGAATCTAACAACCCCTGTCAGAGGAGCACCAGGAAGTTAGGAAAGAGGAAACTCTTAGCTTGACTTTTTCAGTTGCAGAGAAACAGAGCTATCTGGCAGCCTGTCCCAGTGGCAACACCCTGCTCAGGAGTCCCTAAGCCCTTTGATGTGGGAGGTGGAGCACCAAAAGGTACTACACCCAGACTTCCCATCACTCATCCATCACTCTCCATTCCTTTTATAACACTTGCATTTATTGTAGACTTTCAGAAATTCACCTTTCAAACATGTTTTAGGAATATATTATGTATATAAGTAGGAAGCTGCTTACATATATTGAAGTAGGAACAGTATTATATTTAACAATATTTTAAAATTCATTTAATTCATAAAAGAATAAGGCATGTTAACATCAATTTTATTACTTTACAACCATAGTCACTTATAGTGCCACACAAAAAGCACACATAAATGTACAGTAAAAAAGCTAATAATTCAAAGTTCTAATCCCCAATATAATTTGCCTCTACACATTTCTACACAAAATACTGTATTTGAAAGAAAAGGAGGAGCTTAAAATGAAATCTTCCTTTCCATGTTCTGCTCCATCCTAAGATCATTATTAAAATATACAGATAAAGACAACAAGAGAGAAAATACTATAAGAGTTATACTTCAAGGAGCCCAAGGTACGAGTTAATTTTTAGCAGTATTTTCTTACCCTAGACACATTACACAGGTCAGAAATAACATTAAATATAACCATGTGTGACAATAGAGACATTGTTCTTCTAGGAATATGGTGTATATAATGAGCACAGGGAAAAATACAGTGAAATAAGTAAATGATATAAGAAATTTTTACATAAATTAAAAAGTTCAAAATTAGTTTTATCATCTGTATCTTCTGTTATATGTTTCATTATATTTGTTATTAGTTATATTATCTAATGCCTAGGGCCAAAAACAAAGTAGGTATTTTTTAGAAGGAGAAAGAAATTACAAATTTAGAGCGCTTTTGATTAAAATTTGTTTGCAAAATTTCCACCAGTTAGATAACATGACTTCCAGTTGTCATTTTTCTAAAGTTGGGTTTCCTTGCCTGGCCAGTAGTTGGGTTGTAGCAGATGATCACTTGTAGTGTAATTTTCCTTTTGGAATCTTGTAGACACCGTTGTTCTTTCTCTCTTGTTTGTGAAGCTTCTGTGTTTTGAAATATAATTTTTCTTTAAAATGAAAACTACTGCAATACTTAGGAAAATTGACACTGTGCCCAGTATCACAGTTAGTCCCAGATATATGTGTCTAAAAGAAGAGAGAATCTCTGTTATAATTATTGCAACTACCCAACTTTAAATAAAATTTAAAAAGGTAGATAATAATATCATTCTGATGGTTTTAAGAATGTACATTTGGTAGCTTATATGTAAGGCTATTTTATAAATACTGACAGTATTTTTAAAAAATTAAGCAATGTCTTAGTAGCACCATCATTTTCAGTTACTAATGATTACATAATCAGTTTCATCCTCTCTGTAAATTATTCCCTTAATCAGGTATCCATATCCCTGTTTGCCTAGAACAGCCCCAGTTTATGCTAGTGTTGGCCCAGTGTAATTTTAATAGTGCCCCTTTTCACACTCAAAAGAACCCAGTTTTGAATGATAAATTATGTGGCTACCCTATCCCCAGACCTTTCCCAAACTCATTTCTTTGGAAAACTTGCATAAAGCAATGCTAAGGGGAATTGGAGCTCTCAGTAAAGCAGAATGATTTCAGAATAAACCAGAGATTTAAATCAATTTATTTCATGAGAAGCCTGTAGTTCTATGTTTCGTTGAAAGATGCTAAGGTTTGAAAGGACAGGTTGAATGCCTCATTCTGGTTATCTTGAAAACATACTCCCAATCTCTGATTGAGTTACATTGTCTCTACATTACAGTTAATACAGCCATAGCAAAAGTGTGAGTACATCCTAAATTATACTCACAGATTGGGTCCCTTTCAAAGACCAAAGTAAATTTCACACAGAGCATCAAAACTTATTAACTCAAATTTATTTGAGATGGTGTGCCCAATTCACATCCAACTTAGATGGTTTAGCACCAAGTTTATTTCTCTAGAAAATGCTCAGCTTCTAAGTCTTTTAACAAATCTTTCTTGTGTTTAAGCCAACGAAGCATTGCTTTAAGCAATAAAGGACTAAATGTTTGATGAGCTGAACTGAATGATACCATAGTAAAAAGGCCATGCCACCCAACCCCCCTCCCCCATACTCACCCACACAGAGAAAACCTTTTACTTTTATGCATTTCAAGTACAGGAATAATTGAACATCAGTTTGGCAATAAAAGACAGATTAAGAGCCAAATCCAACTCTTGCCCAGGGGGATTATATCTGACGTAAATGGTACAGTTTGGCTCAGTTTGAAAAAGAATATAATTAAACCCAAAATGTGACCTAAATTTAAATGCTTCTGAATTTCAGGGAAATACTTGCCCATTTGTGTGCATAAACTCAGTTATTTTCTGGACACTTTTGTCATATTTTTAAAATGATTACTCATTTAAAATGGGAGTCAAGGTAATGAATAGGGACAAAATCAAAGAGCTAATAAAATAATAGAATTATTCTAGGATTACAGATCACACTTTTTGATTAGACTATTCTTTACCTTACAAGCAGTGAAATGATATGAAAACTTGTTAGTGTCAGTGGCATTGTGTAAATCTGGGATGCTGTAGCAATGAGAAGCGAGAATGCTTTTGATTTGGTACCTGAAGACATTTGAATCATATAATCTGCATGATCCTCTACTTCCACATCTTTTAAATCCCCATTTGAGGCATGAAGTATCAATCAAAACTCCGAAATATACTGGAGCTGGGATTCCTGCTGTGAGAAAAAAACAAATAATTGCTGTAAAAAACATGCACATCTTTTTGGCTATGAACAATTATCTGAAACCACCTACTTTAGTCTAATTACTGTTTTGGAGATGAAAGGTCATCTATTACACGCTGAAATCTCCAAAACCTCTCTAATTCAGTCATTTCTCATAGAATCATACAGTAACTACCATTTATTTATCACCAGAAGCATGTCACTCAGGCACTTCAAACTCAACATGAGCTCAGCTTCTTCCCCTGCAGACCTGTCCCTTTAGTGGTGGCCGCCCAGTCACTAAATCAGACTTCGGAGTCATTGTTGATCCTTCTTTCTCTCCTCTGTCTGGCAATCACTATATTTAATCTATCCCTGAATCATACGAATTCTGCCTACTAGGTATGTCTTAAACACCTTCTCTTCTTTCTATTCCCACTGCCACTCCTTCTACCCTAAAGTAAAGCAACAGCCCGTTCATGATTCCTCTCATTAGCCCTCTCGAATCTGTCCATCATATAGAGGTTGCATCACTGAATTAAGGAGGTGACGTTCCAAGACATCTGTTCTAAAACAAGAGTAGTTAACTGGACATTGAGTCCCTTCTACTTTTGTGGCTACACTTTGGGCAAGATTGTTGTCTTGCATTTCAGACTCCAATTTTCTTGTTTTTCTTTCAGTGACTAAAATGTTCTCCCCTCTTGTCTGAATACCTTGTATAGTTTCCTTTATACCAACTAATGCTTTTCTCTTCTTCGCCTTCTTAATACACACTCACTTTTAGAATCTCATTTGGAACATCTTCCTTCAGAGTGTTATTTTTCCTTCAGAGGCTATTTTGATGAACTAAACTGGATTAACTCTTGTTTTACATCTCTTAAAAATCTTAATACTCCTGTAATTATTTGTTGAATTGCCTTCTCTGCTAGACTGTAAGCTCACCACGGTAGGAAACATATCTTCCTTATTCATGCTATAAACCCTAGCAGGTTCTAAGAAAATGTTAGGAATGTAATCCCTCCTTAGAGAGAAAAGATGTCTCTCATGTACAGATATTAATGAAAGTATCTTAAGCAGTTGTTCACAACTCAGTTTATATTTTATATGTTCTAAATTGACGCATCGTTAACATCTGTCATTTAGTCTGTGTAGGTTTTTCTTTGTTTTGTAGTTAGTAGCCAGTATTTGAAAGCTGGGAGATTTCATGTAAACCTGCACACTTCTGAGTTCTCTTAAGAATTGTGTTGTCTGGCAGTCCATGGTCATAGTTGGCTGGCGTTGAGCAGCAGCTGCCTCCATGTCTCACTCCCCATTTTCTGCCTACGCTTGGACTCCACTGTGAGCCCTTACAGCTTTCTTTCTACCTGTATCACTCATTTCCATCAACTGCCTATTGTTTCTGGCATTTGAGTCTTAACCTTTTTGATATGTTTTCTTCTGTTACAAAATTGCTTTATATGATTATATTGAACAAAATAATCTCACTAATTTTTTTAAGTAATCTAAATATTTATGACACTTCTAAATTTCAGAGATTATCCACGTGTTCTTTGATAACAAATGAAAATATTTAAAAATATTTTCTATGTTAAGGTTTACCTAAGCTTTGCAAATACTCATGTAAATAATTGATTCAATCCAGGCTCATTTATGGGTACCAAAATTTTGGGTGAAAGATTTTTGGGGAACAGAATGGTGACATAACATCGAAGTGTCAAATTATAGATGACTTATTAACTGAAGAAGGATTTTTTTTTTTTTTTTTACAATGAAGAAAGCTGGCACACATCACCTTCACTAAGAGACCAAAATTAAAATTCCAATGATGGTATAAATTGAGCGCATGTGCTTCCTGATGTGATTCACTAATTGTCATGCAAATCACCTGTGTAGTATTGCCACCAACAATTTTTACCTGGTTATAAAGCAAACAAACAGATCCAAATGGTGGGATATTTTACACAACAACCAATTTTGCCTCTTGAAAAAATATAAACGTTGCAAAAGAACAAAAAAGTAAAAATGAGAAAGTTTTAGAGCTAAAAAAGATAACTAAATGCAGGATGTGGTCTTGGATTGACCTTAGGTGAAAAGAAAAATCACTATAGGAGACACTATTGTTTTAATAAAAAAAATGAAATGAGGAATTATATTAGATAGAGTAGCATATCAATGTTGAATTTCTGAAGCATGAGAATGGCACTGTGGTTATATAGGACAATAGACTTGCTCTTGTAGAAAAATACAAGTTGAAGTCTTTAGGAGTAAGAAGTCAGCATGTTCACTTCTTATTTTCAGATGATTCAGCAAAACATACATATACTTAGAGAAACACAGGAGAGGGATTTCTGGTTTTTGGACACCTTTGATAAATCTCAGCAAAAGTTATACAATTCATTGTAATTTAAAATTTTTTGTAAGTTTGAAATTTTCACAACAAATGGAAGAAAGAGAAAGAGGAAAGTTAAACCTATAGATTAAAAGAGATTTTAGAGGTATGTCACCTAAATGCAATGTGTGAACCTTGTTTGGTTCTTGATTCAACATACATGTGTAAGGAAACATCAGATAATTTAAAGAATTTGAGCAGTAATTGGGTATTTGCTAATATTAAGAAGTTATTTTTTAAGATGCAAGATTCACCAGATTAAAATAAGTCATTATGGTTTTGATTAGAGCACACCAAACATGTTATGGAAGAAATGCAGTAGTCTGAGACTTACTTCAAAATAAGCTAGTGGGGGTAGGTGGTTAGGGACACAGATGTCCTGAGATGAGCTGTGTGTTGATAATTGTTGAAATAGGATATGGATCAATTGGAGTTCATTGCCATCTTTGCTGTGTACAAAGAAAGTTCTTGCTATCTTTGTGTAAGTTTACATTTTTAAATAAATTGTTATAAGGATAACTAATTGATTCTATTTTTCATAAAACCCCATGAACCAGAAGAGCAGAAAATTGATCTACCATTCAATTTGGATTATTTGGTACCTCAAGAACCAACCAAATATATGATTTACCACTTAAAAAATCCAGGTGATAACCAATTTTATATTACCTTTAGTGCTATGAAGACAAGTCAAAAAATTCAAATGCTTGCAATTTTCTGTACATGTTTTAAGGTTATTATAATAGAAAATTTTCAAAGATTCACAAAAGCAGAGAGAATGATATAATTAATCCTCATATACCATCATAGCCTTGACAATTATTAATGTTTTACCATTGCTGTTTCATCTCTCTCTCCACTCTCAAACTCTTTCTTTTGAGACAAAGTTTCCCTCTGTCATCCAGGCGGAGCACAGTGGCACAATCTGAGCTCACTGCAACCTTTGCCTCCTGGGTTCAAGCAGTTCTTGTGACTTAGCCCCCCTCAGTATCTGGGACCAGAAGTGTGTGACAACATGCTAGGCTAATTTTTGTATTTTTAGTAGAGGTGAGGTTTGGCTACATTACAGCCAGGCTAGTCTTGAACTCCTGGCCTCAAATGTTCCATCCACCTCAGCCTCCCAAAAGTGCTGGGATTATAGGCATGAGCAACTGTGCCCCGCCTGAACTCTTACTTTAATATTTTAAAGGCAATCGCAGACATCATGTCATTTCAATTATAATAACATCTTTAAAAAACATGACCGCTATGCCATTCTCGCATCTAACATATTTTATAATAATTTCTTAATTTTTAAAAAAAATATAGTACATATTCAAGCTTTTGGATTGTCACCAAGGATTTTTTTAGTTCGTTTGTTCTTATAAGGATCCAAACCAAATAAACACTTTGTATTTAGTTGATGACTCTTTATGGCAATATCCTCTCTTCACTTCATTTTCTTACTAATGATTTTTGAAAAAAGATACCACCAAGTCCTATAAGATATGCCACAGTCTGGATTTGTTTAATTGCTTCTTTATAATATGATTAAATTTATTCTCCTAATTCCATTTTTCTAGACTCTGGTAGTTAGATCTTATTAGATTCAGGTTCAATTAGACAGCACATGCTCTCTAGTTGCCACTCTTAGTAATGCTAAGACAGATGTGAAGTTCAGGCTGTGCCAGTCTGATCCCTCCGTTATGAAGTTACTCATTAACTTTTACCTAAAGCTTTTGGCGATTTTTAACACTACAAGACAGGAATTAAAAAAAAAACTTTACTTCTTATAGAAGCTCTTTGTTGTTTCTCTCTAAAAAGGATTTTCCCTAATTGACTAATTTGGTTACTTTGACATATAGTTAATAGAAGAAAGGCAGGGTAAATGATTTCTTTTTTCTCCTTTATTTCTCAGTTTTCAGAATAATGACTTGATGTCCTGATAGTCTCCAAATTTTTTAAGTATCATTAGGAACTCATGTTTTTTAAATATATTGTATATATTTCAATAAACTGTAACCATTATTGTTATTATTGCTACTACTATTGTGAGTTTCAGTTTATCTCACCTTGAGGCCAGTCTTCTCAAATTGGTTCAGTGCCCTTGATATATCCTTCTTAGCCTTTGATAGCTTAGTCACTTTCTTGCATAAAAAGATGTCCCATATCATCTTATGTATTTTCTACCCTAGACCTTGAACCAGTCATTTCTCCAAGGTACCATATTTTTTTCCTGGGAGATTATATTTAGATAACACAGATTAAGTGTAGTGTTGATTTCTTCTGGGTTTCATAGTTTCTAGATTTTTCAGGAGATGGAACTATGAAATACACATTATTTTAAAATAAAAATATGTGAGTTCATATTGATGTTTTAAGTTCAAATTTAAGAATGAGCTTTGTTATTTTATTTTATACTTGTATCACTTTTCTATTTTACTAAAAACCTTGATTTCAAGTAATCTTAACATTTCAACTGCTTTGTCTTAAATTTATAATAGTTTTAACATAAAAATATTGATATTAGTAGTAATGACTATAAATGCAGTTTATGAGAATTTGGTAAAAAATTTTATTTTTTGAGGCATTTAAGTTTTTTAATGTATGCTTATGTTACCAATTAAATATATAGTTTCAGTTTAAAATGTGGTTATTTTATTTTCAGTTATATAAAAACCTTATATAAACTTGTTTAAACAATCATATAAGTAGTTACATTTACAAAGTCTTACTTTCATCCTGAACTTTCTTACCTCTTAACTTTCTTCTCCTACAAGTAAACATTTTTTAGTTTTTAGTTTATGCTTCCATTGTTTCTTTTTTTAAAAAGAGCAAAATGCCTTTGCACATGCCTATAGTATTTCCACCTTTCCACGCTTGACACCAAAAACATCATCCAATAAAAATTGTTCTCCATTTTGCTTCTTTCTACTTAATACTATATGCTGGAGATTGCTTGATAACATTAGATAGAGATTTTCCCCATTCATCCTTATGGCGCTGTTATGTGGGTGTACTACAGTTTATTCAACCAATCTCCTACTGATGGACATTTAGATCACTTCCAGGTTTTTGCTATTATAAAAAGTCACAATTATTACACCTATTTATAATGATTAAATTTATTTTATAATTTTTACTATCAAATTTTTGGTATAATTCTTAGAAGTAAAGATATTAGGTTAAAAGATCTATCTATATATAATTTCATCAGTTAAGCCCAATAAAGAACATCATTTTCCCAACAGCGATGTGTAAGCATAATCTATTTTTGCATTCATTGCAAACAAAATTTGGTAATTTGTCAGCCTGATAAGAAATGTCGTTCTAGCTTGACTCTTTTTTATGAGAGAACTTGAGCATCTTTCTATATATTGAAAGGCAATTACATTTATTTTTCCATGAAAAATTCACATCTTTTATTCATTTTTCTACTTTGTTGCTTGTCTTTTTCTTCTCAAAATTTAGGATTTTTCTTTATAATGGGAATATTAGCCAGTTGTCTGTTACATAAATTGCAAAACTCATTTCTAGTTCATCTTTTGCCATTTGACTTTGCTTATGATAATTTTGCCAAATTCAAAATTTTTTTGTCAAATCAATTTTGTAAACCATTTATTTTAGTTGGAACAATTTTTGTTCTGTAGGTTCCATCTGTATTCCCGAAGACAGGTATATATGGAGGCCAACTCTTGCCAGGCATATACTACAGACTCAATATATGACACTTTTCTAGATAACACCTATTTTCATATTGTAGAATTAGAGCCAGTCATGATGTCATATAACTCCATGTTTGTTTATTTTTCAATTTTATCAGGATTTTATTATTTTTCTATGCAACTAGTTTACATCAAGAACTATGTAAACCAAATTTAATTTCAAATTGTTTAAGCTTTGGGTTTGTTTTGCTTTCTGAGTTGTTCCTTTCTACCAAATGACAGTGGCATATTCAAAATTATTTTATGTTATTCTTTAATCTATAAACTCTTTAAGGATAAAAGCTTTATTTGTCTCATTCACTGTTTTCTGTGGATTTTAACCAATATACATTTAAAAATTCGGTAGGGAGAAAAAAACATTTTAATTACAATGGAAAGAATGACCTACTCAAATGTATTTGCTTGATTTAAATAGCATCTTATCTTTCTACCTAATGACATAAGGGATAAGCATTGAGAGTAGCTCAAAACAATTCTTTCCATTTTAATAACTGAAAAAGTTATATTTAGGCTTCAGCCTTTCTTACTGATTAATTTCCGAGAGCTCTCTTGTAAAAGCTATAGATTTTGTGAGAACACTCAAGTGCTAGAAAACATAAGACTGTTAAAAATTATGATTAACCTCACAAAATCTCTTTGTTATATCTGAGGCACAAACTAGGCAATAAATATTTCTGTAACAAAAGAAGAAAGGAGTCAAGAAAAGAAGGGAAGAAATAAAGAAATGACTATTAACTTTACCACTACAACATATATTTATGCGTGGAAATTCTATCAAAATATTTAGAAAAGTCTTCAAAATATATTTATGGTGGCTGCCATAAATTAAAGCATAGATTATACTTACCAAGAACTCTTATTGCTAATGTGTAGATACCCAGGGCAAAAGACTTAAGCTGTGGCTTAATGCACCTAAAATCAACAAAAGCACCATTATAATAAATATATAATTCATTAAAGCAAATAGAAATTCGAATGATAATCTGCGTAACACACATGAAATCATGTTAGAATTCAAGTGACATTTATGGTGAACCTATTGGTGTGCTAACATAGGGAGGGCAAAATATGTAAAAGCCATATTCCATTTCATGCAATGCTACATGTTTATAATTAATATTTCTAGAAACTAAATCACCATACATTCCATATTCATGTGGTGCTAGTAAAGTCAAATTTAAGTTTAACCAGCAAAATAGCAAAGATTTGAGATAAAACTCAAATTTCTAAAAAATTGTTAGAATTTGAAGCAAAAATAAAGAATTAATAACCTACAATTTTTACGGCTTTTGGACTAAAAGCACAGGACCAAATTCATCAGTTGATGTAATCACTGGGGCATGCTAAAAGTTGCTGCTAAAGAGAGAGAACTTGAAATAATCAGAAAAGTGCAAAACACCTAAATAACAAGAGTGTCATTAATATGACTGTAAAGCTTAATGTGATTTCCCTATGGATTTTAATAGTAATAATCATGATAATATATAATGACTACGGAGTGTTAACCATGGTATTAAGTACTTTGTACATATTACATCATTTAGTCTCTGCTTTAAAAGAGGCAAAAACAAACAAACAAACAAACAAACAAAACCCATCTTCAACCCAAAGGAGTCCTTCTGACATCAAAATTCACAATAGTTAATATGAAGGACTAGTGGTGGGAAAATGCTTTCTGTCGTAAGCACCTGATTCTACACTTGGCACAGTATAAGAAGTTTTTGAAGATGTAGCACAGTATTCTGGAAAGTCTAAGACAGTGTTTTGCCATTTTGTCAAACTCAGGCTACCATTTATAAATGTAACTATCTCATGTTCTTCATGTTGTATTTCCCATGATTTGGTGAAAGCTGTTTGGAGAATAGCAGGTTCTGTTTTCTGTTTGTCATTCCTAAACAGTTTCCATTATACAAACTGTGGGAAATTAAAACTGTATACAATGCTTTGGTTAGCCTTTAGAAAAAAATTAGTATTTATCCTTGAATACATGAATTAATTTGAAAATCACCAAGTCCATCTCACCAATATTGAATTCTAGTAAATGTTGACTTTTCACGCTTAATAATTATATCAAATTTTTTATTAGGTGATTTTTTATCAATAGCACAATAGAAATATTGGCAAAGCTAAAGCTAACTCAATTAGGATGAAATATTATAACTGAGACTCCTATTTGCAAAACTGTTTTAGCATTTGGATTCATATAATTTTTACAGATGTGTGATAGGGTTATCAGTAAAAAATGTTTTAACATAAATTGTATTTTAATAGAAGAAAAAACTATAAGGAAGTTGAATGAGATATAAAGGCAGGAAGAAGGAAATATGTAATGCCTGTCACTGTTAAAGTAGTTGTTATGCAAGTCTGAACCAGGTGATGTTGGTTATCAAATCACTATTTTTTGGATACCATTAATTACATTAGAAAGTGATGTACATTTAAAATGGTTATTTTTTAAGAAAATATTTATAATATACCAGAAATCAATATTTAGTTACTATTTAAACTTATGATAAAAAATTTTCTGTGTCAATTTGTACGTAAATAAGAGGCTACATAATTTTACAAAATTTTTTAGGGTTTTATAAGCAAAAATGATTGAAGTTATTGATTAAAGTCTGGCTCTGTGTGTTCCCACCCAAATCTCATCTTGAATTGTAATCCAAATTTTAATCCCCACATGTTGGGAGAGGGACCTTTTGGGAAGTGATTGGCTCATGGCTGTGGTTCCCCCATGCTGTTTCTGTGACAGTGAGTTCTCACAAGATCTGATGGTTTTATAAGAGGCTCTTCCCGCTTCACTCTGTACTTCTCCCTCCTGTGCCTTATTGAGGAAGGTCTTGTTTGTTTTCCCTTTCCCCAGTATTGTAGGTTTCCTGAGACCTCTCCATCCATGCGGAACTGTGAGTCAATTAAACCTCTTCCCTTTATAAATGATCCGATCTTGGATATTTCTTTACAGTAGTGTTAAAACAGACTAATACTGTCATTAACATCATGGATTAACATCCTCAATTTACCCAAAAGCCATGAAATCCCTCACAGATAATTCTAATTATAGCAAAAATACACAGATAAAGCAAAATAAATAAATAATAAATGCATAATATTGTAGTATTAGATAAGCCTTTAAAATGTCTTGTAAATTGTATTTCCCATGATCTAGTGAAACTATATTTAATCTAAAATGCTTGTTATCTATGCTAATTAATATTATTACCAGCATTAGAAGCAGTACACTATTATCTATTAACCAACTCTAGTAATGTAGGCACTAACATTGCTTTCTAGAGCAATAGTTTGCAAACATTTTTAACTAAGAAAATGTCTCTTAAGCCACATTTTTGTATTAATATCAAGTGAGATACATATAGAAGTGAAAAAAGGATGTGGGACAAGTTCCTTGAAAAAACTAAGAAGAATCATAATGATTCTACAGAAAAAAATACTTAAATCCTTGCCTGAGATGATTATGTCTTATGTTAAAATTGGAATGGGGAGAATCGGTACTCACCTCAGAAGTAATATGTATCCAGGTATGCCACCTAGGGATAAAGTATAGGATGTGATGACTGAAATTACAAGAAAATACAGAAACATTTGGGGACATCCATTGTCTTTTTGACATCTTCCGACTATGCCTGAGGAATTTCCAGATTTAGAAGCCGCAATTCCCACACAAGTGCAGTTGTAAAATATCTGTAACACGATAGGGAAAAGTCCAGTTATTGCAGTGACATTTAAATAAAATTAAAGATAGTTATTTTAAAAAACTTACAGTATAGTAGCCATGCATTATATAAACAATGAGGAAGTATTCTTTTATTTTTCCGTATTAGAGTATATTGAACAAAGCAAAGTCTATACAGAAACAGCATTTCATTATCTAAATAGCAGACGGTCAGTCTACTAAGTATTAATCCTACACAACAATCTCCCAGCAAATCCTACCTAATCTAACCATACCTTACCTCTTTCACTACCAGTTTCAATTCTAAGTAATCATTATTTCTTGCCTAGATTGTTGCAATGCTCCCTTTATTCTTAACTTGTTTTTGCTCTTACCTAGCTAGAATCTGTTTTCCATCCAGTAAGCAAAGTGGACCTTTAAGCATGACACTCAGATCACATCACTACCCTCAACCTGCCAATGGTTTCTCATTATACTTGCATGAAACCCCATATCCTTATAACGGTTTACACTTTTTCCATCATGTAGCGCCTGGATGCCACTCTAATCTCACCATTCAGTGACCTTCCCTCTCTCCTTTTGTGTCAGCCACACACAGGACCCTTGAAACGGCCACTTTGCCCTTTCCAAACCTCCTCTCAAACCTGGCAAGTTTATCCATGTCTCATGGCCCTGCTATTTTCTCTACCGGGCAGCTCTTCTTCTAGGTGATTATATGGCTAGCATCCATACGTAAGGCATCTGTTCAGAGATTTTATTAGAGACCTTTCACAACTACCCATTCAAAAAAAAAAATACTTCCATCTCTTTACCCTTTTATTCTAATTCATGTCTTTTTCACCATGCTTCTTACTACCTATCAGTATATCATATATTTACTTATGTTTAAAATATACTTTCCCAACAAAATGTAACCTCCATGAAAGAAGAAACTGCTTGCTTTACTATCATTATGCAACCAGGGAATAGAAGAGGCTCTCATTTTAGGCATTTGATAAAACTTAGTTAAGTAAATGGGCAGAATTGAGGATATGACAGAATTTATGGTGGCTGTAAGAAAAAAATAATTCTGGTGCATAAAACAGTTTGTATAAACCCTTGACAGTTTATTTCTTTAAATTTTATTTATTAATGCCTTTATACAATGCTATATTTAATCACAGAAGAGTTTGTGAGTTTTTAGACAGTAAATAAAGCTGGAATTTCCTTTTCTAGAAAAAGTAGTAATGTAGATTTTTTTGCAAGGTCAAATTGAAATCTTTGATTCTTAATTCTGGCTGCTCACTAGACAAATGAGTTAAAGAAGTCCTTTGTATCTCAGTGCCTCAGTTCTCACATAAGGAAACACTGAAAATAATACAAATTATTTCAGGACCATGAGATTTAAATGCAAGTTTGTTTTTAGAACACCAATCTTTAGCCCTTCTTTATAATGTCTTTTATAAATGGTAGCTCTCATTAAGAAAAACCTTCATGCAGCTGTGGACAAAAATAACAGTAGCTGAAAGAAAAATAACAAAAGGAAGAAAGCAAAGAAAAGAAGAAGAGAGAAGCTTGGTGAAAACATATTTCAGATGAGTAGGTAGTGTTATTCATTGTCGCTAGAAACCAATCCTTTCTGCTCTAAATAAGTCAAAATAATAATACAATGAACAGAGTCAATCAACAAACATAGCTGTATATCTATGGATATACAGCCTAAGCATTTGTATCCAGTTAATAAGCATATGTAAATAAATGAAATGAATGAGTGGTTTAATTATCTGCCTTGTAGAATTGTCAAAGGTAAATTTCATCAGTCATAAATAGAAAGCAGTCTCAAAGAGCAAACAATAAGAGTCTGTTCTCCCTGTCTGCTCTCTGCCATGTGAGGATAGAAGGTGAAGATGGCCATCTGCAAACCAGATAGCAGGTCCTCACCAGGCACCAGATCTGCTGGCATCTTGATCTTGGACTTCTCAGCCTCCAGAACTATGAGAAGTAAATGTTTGTTGTTTAAGCTACCCATTCTATGGTGTATTCGTTATAGCAGCCTGGACTGACTAAAACAGATTTTTACCTATATTTCCAACCTCATCTTCCTCTTCCACCCTACAGAAACCCTCCAATCCAGCCCATCTGCTCTCTTATTATAATACAAATTGACTGGATTTTCCAAGCAAAGTTGTCCTAGAACTATCAACCTCCTTATAATCAGGTCTCTGACCCCAAGGTCTAGAATCTTTGGAGCTAAACCTCCTAATACCGACTTATATTTGTCCATCTCCTAAAACCTCAAATGACCACTGGTCTTGGAGTCAGAAGACATGGATCTGAAAGTATATCTTGTTATATGATCACATGATAGACATTCCCATTCAGGGCTAACACTTCTTATAAGCAAAAGGAGGTAAACTGATTATGTAATTACAAAAGCTCTTCCACCCCATTTCATGACTCTAATTCTCATCCTAATTTTTTCAGCAACTCAAGTACCACTAGGAATGGTTATAACATTTTCTTTTTGTACACAAAAAAGGGTAAGAAGCAAGCCTCCTGCTAGTAGTGGTCTGCTGTGAGCCCCCATAGAGTTGTGTTATTTATATTGTAACAAGACCATGGCCATATACTTTAGAGGTGATTTCTTACAATATTGTTTCCACTCCTGCTGGAGGTTTGACAACCAGCAAGGCAAGCTGATACATATGTGATTCCATTTTCACCGCACATGGGTTCCCATTTTGTCTCTGAACATTTGCATCTTGAGTTGCAATCTGAAAAGAGAGCTCGTTCATGATAAGAGACAGGTTTGGTTCTGAAAAGAAATATAACAATATAAAATATTATCTCTTAGCAGGTAACACCTGAATATTTTCAAAAACCAATGTTCTTGAGTGATATAAAAGATACTACCAAAAAAAAAAATTGCCTTTTAGAGACACATTTGTCATCAGAAATGCCAGCTTCTGGTCATGAAATGTGGGTTTACTAATAACAGCTTTATCTTGAAAGGTTTTAGAAGCTTACGAATTCATATCATGTCCAGTTCTTAGCTTATAGCTTTCAGTAAAGTCTGCTGCCTCTAGGATCCTCTAATATAACTTCTCTGCAAAGGTGTATATAAATAGCTAACAAGGTTAGAAAAGTAAACTTTTAGAGCAATTTATGGCATTACTTAAATGCATCACAGGTGGTGTGTGTGTGTGCAAATTTCATTCAGAATTGTTGTCTGACTGGAATGGATGTTGCTAATAGTTCAGTAAAGGAAAAGTAGCCAATCGGTAATCATTTAATTCTCTTTCAGTGTTTGCAGGAATTACATGTCCTCTTGTGTATGTCTTACATCGGCAATAAGTGCATTCCCAGTTCACTCAACCTTTCTCCTGTGTATTCTCCCAGTGTACAGTGCTCTTTCGTATCTTATAGATCCTTTCTTACTCAAATTCTCAAGCAAGTTCAATGACTCACCCACCTATTTGTTCATAAAATTTTACTGGAAAACTACTAAGTGCTAGCTCTGGGAGAAAAAGAGATAATTACAAATATTAATGAGACAATATTTACCCTCCAGAAATTAGCTTTTTTGAGTTGTTTCACAAAATCGTGATCACATTCTTTCTTTTCCTCTTCATATTTTTTTGTCCTCTGCCATTCACTTTTGTATTTACTCTTCCTCTCTCCCAGTATTCTCTCCCCTCACTTTTTGTCTGTCACCTGAATGGCCTAATCCTTCTGCTTTTATCCTTTTTTGCTATTCATATCCCACTACTCTTCTCAAAGGGAACTTTTGCAATGGCACGTCATTTCTATCTGCATGATAGGTGCCATTCCTGGGCCCTCCATACTTAATTTTTTCTACTCCTTATTTTTAAATTTATTTATTTGCGTATTCCTTCTCTCTTTCACCCCATTTTGTACAAAGATATTTGAGGAGCATAAACTAAAAAAATACATTGAAATGTGCAATCAGCAGAGGCAGGAACTGTTTTCTTAATTTACTTCCATTTCTCCAGCACCAGTAATAACTCCTGTCACACAGCAAGCTAAGAAACAAGATTTCTAGTTAAGTTAATCAAGAAAAACATGGTATTATGGTGAAAGAAATTAACCACTTGGGCCTCTGCCTATAAGAAGCATCGTCATTAATTATGGCAACCATAATTTCTTAATGATAGTAATATTCCATCTAGCAGGACTGGTATGATGAATTTTGTCACCTCAAAAGTATAAATAAAAATCCTCTGAGAGGTTTCCAAATATGTAGTGTGAAAGGGTATTGAACTAGGCCTTCCGAGATGTCCTATAGGAATGTTTAATCCTGTTCTCTTCCATAAAATTTTAATTGTTAACTGAGACTGTTTGTAGTATCTAAAAGTATAAAACTGCCTATACAAGTCTAGAATCATTTTAACTCTGGAAATGGTAGGGCTGAGATTATAGAAGGTTGGAGCTCGAGAGAACCTTGGTGTAATCTAGGCCGACCTCTCGTTTGACAGATCAGGGAAGTCAGGCCCCAAGCGGATGGGTAACTTGCTCAAATTCCCACTGCTTGTTAGTGACAACTCTGGAAACAGAACCCTGCCAGGCCTCTTGATTGTAAATTCTTATCTGACATCAGAGTTATCCTTGCTATTGCAGAAGACAGATTTCTTCCATTATCCTATCTAAGGCTTATCTTCAGTTTTCCTATTGAATGTCCAGGTCAAGACAGTGTTTGGAATAAAGCAACATGGAAAAACCCATGGAAACCATTTTATATTTTATAAAGAAAATTACTTTGTATTATTGAAAGTAAGTTTGATTTATCATCGGGAGTAGGAATCAATGGCATACATGTTTTCTGAAGGATGTGCTGACAGTAGATTTGTCATTTAGAATTTTAGTTATAAGAAGAGTTTTAACAAATATGCCAGAATGTTTATACCCAAATGAGATTTTCTTTCAAAATAGTTATGCCAAAAGATGAGAGCGTTTTCTTAAAGGTTAAATCTTTGCCCTTGTTAAGAATATTCTAAAAAATATACAAGGAAATTTCAAAAGAAGAGCCTTAGAATTTTTTTTTTATATATATATATATAGACGGGGTTTCACCATGTTGGCCAGGCTAGCTTTGAACTCCCTTGGCCTCCCAAAGTGCTGGGATTACAGGCATGAGCCACTGTGCCTGGCAAGCCTTAGAATATTTTCAACAGCAACAGCATTACTGCAATACAGTCAGAGTCTTTTAAGGTGACTGCTTTGAAGAGGCTAGTACTCAGTTAATGAAAATGTTGCCCTGTATTTGCTCAAAATGTTTAATCTTTGGTTATGTAGGGCCACTTTTAATGGGAACCTCAAAGTTTGCTTTTGTTGTCTGTCGTTGTCTGTTGGTTCTCTGTTTTGTGTTTACTTTGGCTTAGAAATTATGATGTAGAAAGATGTTCTACTTTGAGTCATGCCTGTGTTCAAGCCCCAGATCTATGCAGTTGCCTTTAAAGAAGGATAACAGAACTAATGTCATAAAGGTGTTTTGAGGATACAAATGAGATCATGAAAGTTAAGGTGTTTTGTAAATCACAAACTATAAAGTACTCTACAACTGTCCCTCTACCGTGAGGATCTCTGGGACAATTAAAGATGGCACTGGGCTTCTCTCTCTAGAAGCTTCTTTCATTTCATCGTCACAACATTCTTAATCCACACTGCTGACTTTCACTAAGGCAGCACTATAGTCAGCTGAGTCTAACAATCTGGCTGTGATAACTCCCATAAGCCATAATTGATGAACTTTGCATTCACCAATTTTCCTGAACATCGTAGATGGCCAAAACTATAACAGCCGCTCATTTAGCAGCAGGTGACACCAGGTTAATAAAGATGATGGAAATTGGAACATAGAGACGAGGCAGATAAGCATGGAAGGAAGAGTAGGAAGGGAGACGGATAGCACGCTGTGAGCCAGAAGCTGCGTAACAGGCAGGAAACAGCATAAAGTGTCAGGAATGTTTGCCTTTGAGCCACAGGCAGAGTTTCTGGTGGCCAGGCAGATACAGTTGGGGAGGTCTTCCTGGCACATGGTGGAGCCTCAATAATTTTTTAGAAAATAAATAATGCATAGACAGGTGAAATGATGAAGAAAGTTACCTCTGGGAACTCATGTTAAAAAGTAGAGCGATGGGAAAGACTCAGTGGGCAATATAGTTCCTACAAGATCCAACCAAGTATTGAAAGAAACTCTGGAAACCAAGCAATGTATTATCACCCACCCCATGTAAGCTGGCAGGTCTGAGGGCATTCCTAAATATTATCCTGACCAATTGCAAGACACCCAGCTAAAGAGAAATTTTATGGGGAGCACCAGGTTGAAGGACAGGCATTTCTTTTCAGAAACTTCATAGGATTCAAGCACAACAGCAACTATGGAGGATTGCATAGAAGTAACTCCCCTTACTCAGGTGTCCAAAGGAGAAAAATACAATATTTCCATGAATGGCACATTTATTTTGTGTTAGGCAAGTAGTGTTCACTTTCATATACATTAACTTGCTTAAACCTAACAGAAGCTTAAAAGGCAGTCATTACTTCTGTTTTTAAGATGGGAAAATTGAAGTTGGATTAGTTTAAACTGCCCATATATCACTTCATTAAAAATAGAGACCTGATTCAAGGTTTGTATTTCCACTATCATGTTGTTTTTCTAAATTAATCAGGTTGGTTCTCTAGGGTAAAATATGGGTTTATCAATTCTTTATTTCTCTAAGATATTTAAAATAAAAAAAGATGACACATTTTGGTGACAATAACCGATTCTAAGTATTGTCAGTTATTCCACAATAATACTAAATCTCTTACCATAGTTACGATGTTTAAAAATCAAATTCGTTTTTTGTAACTCCACAAATAATCGATTTAATTAAACAAGACAATATCCTTAAATTATTTGATAAGGGAACATACCCTTGGTAGGAAACAGTTAGTCCTGCCACATCAGAATTTTCACAGCCCAGTGCAAACAGGGAAAGAAATAGGAGGTAACCAAAGGCAGATGATCCCAAGTAGAGTTTTGCAGCTCCACACACACTGATGCTGAATTTTTTCATAACTATCCCCCCAGAGAATATTCCAAGGGCCACTGCTGGTATGTTGATGAGCCCTGAGAAACAAGAAAATACATGATTTTGTGAATCTCTAAAAAAAAGATCTGAGTGCACTCACACAAACTTTCAAATGTATTATTACTAGAAGACTTTGTCACTTTAAATTATAGAAATATTCACTTTAAATTGTAGAAATATTCAGTCACTATCATCTAACATATTCAAAGAATGTATGATGAGTGTCTTGGTTATAGATTAATGGTGATGCAACTACACAGTCTCAGGTTCTGTCTAGCACAATGATTAGCACAGAGTATTAAATTAACAAATACCAAATGAATCAAATATCTCTGGTTATTCTAGTCCAATTCCAGCATTAACAAGTACAATTAGGTAGCAATTAGGTGCCAATTAATGTTCTGTATAAAAAATAATAGGCAAATAGCATATAGAAAACTTTTTTTTAAGTCTTGATTCCTATTTTCTGCCCCCCACTCGCCATGTATGCAAAATTTGTTTTCATTGAGCCAGCTTCTTACATTTGACTGTGGTATCCTTCCTAATAAAAACAATAACCACCTCTATTTACTTGCTTATAATGTACCAGCCACTGAGCTAAGCATTTGATATATTAATATTATCACACTCGCTTTTCACCACAACCTTAAGAGTAGGCATATTGTTAGCCTCACTTCAGAGAGCTATTTGTCTGCAGTCACAGTTAGTAAGCAGGCAACCAGATTTGAATGCAGAAAGACTGATGTCAAGCCCCATGCTTTTAATCACTGCTATGTGGCCTCTCCATCAGGGGTTTGGGAAATAGTATCCTTGATAAATAGATGTACATTATTTTTTTAGATAGCTGTGCAAACTCACTAGGAATCTATTAAGTGTGAGCTATAAATTGCACTAGGAAGAGGTTCAACTTAATGGTTGAGAGCTTGGACTCTGGAGACCCAGCTGCCTGAGTTTAAATCTCAGTTCCACCACTCAATAGCTGTGCAATTGCAGGTAATTCTTTGAATGTCTCTAAACTTCTCTCCTCATATATAATATGGAAGTAATAATAGCATTGTTGAGGGAACTAAATTCTATTATTTATGAAGAGTTATCAGCACAATGTTTAGCACAAAAATATTTTGCAATTAATTGCTATCCATTTTATTTACAAAAATGAAAATCCCGGAGGTGGGGTGGGGAGTAAAACACTTGTAGAAGGCTTGGGAAAAGAGGCACTTTAGTGCTGTTTGTAATGGTGTAACTCTAGAGAAGAACAATCTGGCACTCAAAAATAAATAACTTCTCTGCTAATTAGATTTTATTTCTCATATTGTCTACCTATCAATTATTGATGTCCATGTTTTCTTGAGGTTTTGAGATAATACATCTCTTTCAAATAATAAAAAAGCTGAAGTTTGCATGACCTCTACTAGTCAACAGATAACATTCAAAGACAACGTCAGCATTGCTGTGGTAAAAAAATGATCTCAACTACGCATGTCTGACTCATAACCTACTGTGAAATTGTAAAATAAAAATGAAAACACTGACATCTAGTGATAATGACATGCAAATTTTCTTCTTTCCTTTCCTTTTTGTTCTTTCTTTTTAAGTTTATATATTTAGTTTCTTAACAAAACATCATAGATTTGCAAAAAAAATTCAACATACAGTGGTCTTTGGCTTGCTATTACATTATTAAAAAAGTAATTTCTAACATGTATAGATCACAAAAGAACATTTTATTTCCTTTCTTTTTATATAATCATAGGTTGTATAAGTGAACATTAAAATGATCATATTAGAAATCAGCCTACCTTAAAGGGGGCATGATCATGAAATTAGTGAAATGGAAGAAGGAAGAAATGCTAAATTTTGCTTTCCAGCTAAACCGTGGTTCCTGTGTATGGCAAGCAACAGAGATGAAAATCTAGAACCTTGAACAGCCAAAAATCAACTAAGAGAAATATGATTACTGTTTTAAAAACAATGAATATATCATAGAAAATATATCAACAAACCCAGTTATTCATGGCCCAGGTTAATTAATACTAATATTTTCTCCTGATTTTTCTGATTTTTAAAGATGAGGAAGTAGATAAAATTAGGTCTTCCTTTGTTTCAGTTTTCATCTTCCTTCTCCCAAAGTAAGTGCTGCTATGAGTTTGATATGCATCCTTTAAATGCCTACTTTTACACACACAAACATATATGCAAAAAATATTTATAACATAGTACCTGATTATGAATGCCTTCCACAGAGCCAAAGCTGACACAAACAGCAGAGTACTACATTTTCTCTCTCAATTCCATCCCCAAAATTGGTTTATGAACAAAGTATCTTCTGAAAACCAATCTCTGAACTGAAAACTTCAGAGCATGTCCCTAGCCTTTTATTTTATTTTGTAAAGTACTAGTTGAACCTGGGATGTAAGGAGTCATAACACAAGGTGTAGCCTTGTCTGTAGCTATGTTCTGTGTTGAATTCCATTGAACTTACCCCACTCCCAGCAGCCTAGAATAGCCTGAAAATTGAAATGGAATTACCCTAGAAACATCTGTACACTCATTATAAATTGTTAACAGTCAGGAATATCCTTTCCTGATTTACCTCTTTTTGGACGCTGGTATTTTCTTGAAACTTTCAGAAAGTTTCATGTATTCTCTTGACTCGAGATCATTCTACACGAGATACTTGCTTTGTCTGATGAAAACCTCCATTCTCTTTTCCACACTTTCATCTTTTAATACCTTCTTATCCTTTTCCCTTGATTTAGATATCATCATGTTCTGCTAGAAAATTCTTCTTGATTCCAAGATTAGGTTTGTTCTTCCGGAGTGCTCTGAGTTTCCCCTAAGTAGAATTCCTTCTCACAGGTTCCGCCAGCCATATGAGGCTTCCAGGGGACTCATTTGGCACCAGGGCTCACAACTGGATCATCAGAACTCCATATTCTCGCCCATCAGGAGTTCCTTGTGCAGGGGCCCATAGGCAGCAGCCTTGATGCTTTAACAATTACCTGCTAGCCTTTCCAGTTCATATCTCTCACCATCCAACCAAACTCTTGAAGGAAGAATGGTGTTCACCATTGAATCCCATGTTCTTTCAACAGTTTCCAATAAAATGTGCTAAATGAATAAATCTTAGTGTATTAATTTATGGCACTTCTCCTGGATATCTTTCCTATTTCAAGATAACTAAATTATAACACTATTCCAAAAAAGATTAGTACATTTCAAATATACTGTTGGCTTGGTTCTCCCTTTCAAATTTCATAAGATTTATTAAGCTGTCCGCGGTGGGCCACGTTGGTAACAAATTTCCTTTACATCATGTGAGATGTGTTTCTTCCCTCCCAGGCTTGTCTTTCATTTTAGGTATTTTAAAATCATTTAGTGAGATGGAAATTACACTTTGATTTATTCCCTACCCACACCATAAAATGTGCTGATCTAAAATTTCTTACCATCTAAGTAGTCCAAATGGAAATATTAATTTACGCTAGTCTCTAAAATTTGTTTCAACTTATTTTCCGTGTTTTCTTTTGAATTCAACATGCATATTTACCCAAATATCAGAAAAACTTAGAGATATTTAAGTGTTAACTTATTATGTTTTTATTATATTTTATTATATAATTATTATTGTTTTAGCACACTCATCAGGTTAAAGCTCTTATTCCTTGATACTGATGTAAAAAGGAGTTATGAGAGATGTGTAAAATGTTTGACATGGTCAGCACAATTAGAACAATGTAGAAGCTTTGATTTCCCTTCCAATGTCTTGGATTGAAATAGTTATAATAATAATAATAATAATAATAATAATAGTACTTGAAGATGTTTCAGAATTTCTCTCCTAGTAAAGTTCGTGTTATATCCTGAACCTTCACAAAAACAAAATTAACAATAATGTGTTTTATAAGCAACTTTCCTCTAAATAATTCTCCAATTTTTTTCTTAACTGTCTGTATAACACCTCCAAAAATTGAGAATGATAATCTTTGTTATAAATGATAGTCGATATATCTTGTCTATAAAAAGCATTCTAAGAAATTAAGTAAAAATAACTAAATTATTACAATCTCTGTATTGAGAAGGAAAAGATAAGGTAATTTGTATGTAGCTTAATATTGATAGGAGAAGCTTAAATTGAAATAAAGCCACATATCTACAACCATCTTATCTTCAACAAAGCTGATAAAAACAAGAAATGGAAAAAGGGCTCCCTATTCAATAAATGCCACTGGAATAACTAGCTAGTCATATACAGAAGAATGAAACTGGACCCCTTGTTATTATCATATACAAAAATTAACATGGATTAAAGACTTATGGATTTAAACTATATAAATCCTGAAGAAAGCCTAGGAAATACCCCTATCAATATCAGACTTGGCAAAGAATTTATGTCTCTGTACTCAAAGCAACTGCAACAAAAACAAAAATTGATGAGTGGGACCTAATTAAACTAAAGAGCTTCTGCACAGCAAGAGACACCGTCAAAGAAGTAAACAGAAATTCTACAGAATGGGAGAAAATATTCACAGACTATGCATTTGATGAAGATCTAATATCCAGACTCTGTAAAGAACTTAAACAAAACAACAAGGAAATAAGGTAGAACTCCATTAAAAAGTGAGCAATGGACATGTACAGACACTTCACAAAACACCTAAGCGATCAACAAAGATATGAAGAAATGCTCTTCATAAATAATCACAGAAATGCAATTAAAAACCACAGTGAGGACGGGGGAGGTGGCTCACACCTGTAATCCCAGCACTTTGGGAGGTCAAGGCAGGTGGATCAAGAGGTCAGGAGTCCAAGACCAGTCTGGCCAACATGGTGAAACCCCATCTCTACTAAAAATACAAAAATTAGCTGGGCATGGTGGCAGACACCTGTAATCCCAGCTATTCGGGAGGCTGAGGCAGGAGAATTGCTTGAATCCAGGAGGTAGAGGCTGCCGTGAGCCAGGATCACGCCACTGAACTGCAGCCTGGACAATGACAGCAAAACTTCGTCTCAAAAAAAAAAAAAAAAAAAAAAAAAAAGAGTAAGTATCTCACACCAGTCAATGGCTTTTGTTAAAAAGTCAAAAAATAACAGACCTTGGTGAGGCTACGGAGAAAAGGGGATGCTTATACACTGTTAGTGGGAATGTAAATCAGTCCAGCTATTGTTGAGAGCGGTTTGGATATTTCTCAAAGAACTAAGAGTTAAACTACCATTTGACCTAGTGATCCCATCAGTGGGTATATACCCAAAGGAAAATAAATCATTCTATCAAAAGGACACATGCGACCAGGTGCAGTGGGTCACACCTGTAATCCAGGCACTTTGGGAGCCCAAGCAAGGTGGATCACAAGGACAGGAGTTGGAGACCAGCTTGGGCAACTTGGTGAAACCATGTCTCTACTAAAATACAAAAAATTAGCTGGGAATGGTGGTGGACGCCTGTAATTCTAACTACTTGGGAGGCTGAGGTGGGAGAATTCCTTGAACCCAGGAGGCAGAGGTCACAGCCGAGATTGTGCCACTGCACTCTAGTCTGGGTGAAAGAGGGAGATTCCTTCTTAAAAAAAAAAAAAAAAAAAAAAAAAAAAAGACACATACACCCATATGTTCATCACAGCACTGTTCATGATAGCAAAAACATGGAATCTGGAACCCATCAACAGTGGATTGGATAAATAAAATGTAGTACATATTAACCATGGAATATTATGCAGCCATAGAAAGAATGAAATCATGCCCTTTGGACAAATGCAGATGGAGCTGGAGGCCATGACTCTAAGTGAACTAACTCAGAAACAGAAAACCAAATACTATGTGTTCTCACATATCAGTGGGAGCTAAATATTGGGTACACTTGGACATAAAGTTGGGAACAATAGACACTGGGAACTACTAGAGAGGGAAAGGTAGGAGAGGAGAAAGATTAGAAAGTTATCCATTGGGTGCTATGCTCACTGTCTGGGTGATGGATTCAGTCATACTCCAAACCTCAGCATTATGCAATATACCATTGTAACAAACCTGCCCTGCACACATACACACTATTCCAAAATAAAAGATGAAAAATAAAAATAAATAAGCAACAAAAGAAAAATAAAAATCTATCTGTCTATCCAAACATTTCATTAAAATTCTTTTTAAAATTCTACAAACTTTAAAAAGCAAAATCATTTCACAGTATGCTTCCTAGTTCTTGAATTTAAATTTTATTGTCATTTATTTTCCCTTAATATTTTTCTATAAAGTTAAAGTAATTAATATGAGAAAAATGCTATCTCTAAACTCTAGAAGGAATGTGGCTAAAATTTAAAAACATGTACAGCAAGACTAAGTTGTCATAACTGTTGGCCCTTGAAAATGTTAGGAAATTTCTGTTTACTCTCCCCTCCATGGCATGTCAAATGGCTTCTCTCAGAGCAGAAAGGAAATATGTCTTCTTTGTGTCTATCTCATATTTTATTGCAGGAAGATCATTATCCCACAACACAAGTTAAAATAAATGAAGAAAAAAGAGAAAGGTTGAATAGAAGAAAGAGAAAATAATATTTATTGAATGATGATATCTGCATTTACTATGCATTTTATCTGTATTTTTTAATCTTTATTTCAACCTAGTGATATATTTATTTTCACCATTGTACAAATAATCAAAGTAAGGGTGAGGGGAAATTGAACAATTTGCCCACTTACCCTTAGTTGTCTGCACCCCATACTTACTAATGTGAAACCAAGATGATCTCAGGAACGATCCTAGTATAATGATGTGAAATTGTTAGATACTATTACTTATCTCTCACAAAAATATTTAAATTATCTGTAGACCATGACATGTCAGAAACTTTGAAGAACTGAGTTTTAGGTAAATGCAAATTAAACCACCATGAAATACCACAACCACACCCCATAAGAATGGTTATAATGAAAAGAACTGACAAGTCCAAGTGTTGACAAGAATGTGAGGCAACTGGAATGCTCTTAACATTTCTAATAGGAGTATGAATTTGCACAACCTCCCTGTGTTTTGGCAATAACTATTCTACTTAAACACATATGCTCCCTATGACTTAGCAATTGCACTCCAGAGTATAGCTATGAAAAATGAGTGAAGTGGCCCACCAATGTACATGTGGAATGTTGTTTTCTGCTTTTAACTATCATAAAAAATTATAATGTTATTTATAATAACATTATTATATAGTATACATAATATGCTATATATAATACCATATTACTATATTATAGTAGTACTATGTATATTTACTATATCATACATACTATATAGTATAAATTTTAATATAGCATATAATATAATATACTGTAATATGCTATGATAATATAGATTATTATATTAATATGTATTAAAATATATAATATTCTTATTTCTGTTTACTGCCTTTAACTATTATAATTAGTTAAAATACTTTTATAAATAATTATAATTTAAATATTTATAATACTATTATAATCAATAAATATTTCATATATAATTATATATCGTCATAATTCTATTTTATATAATTTATTATATATACTACTATATATAATTATATATAATTTATTGTATATTATGTAATACATACAATGTATAATTTATTATTACATAATATGTAATCTACACAATGTGTAATTAATACGTATCATATTCATATTAATGTATATTTTTAAAAATATATTTTATAATATAGTGTAATTATAGACATATGTATAATTTAATAATAGTATACTATTATAATTGTATTTATAATTTTATAATATAGAAAATTGTATATATTATGTATTATATATTATGGTATTATAAATAGTTAAAAGCAGAAAACAACACAAATGTCCATCAACAGTAAAATGAAAAAGTTGTGATATATTTATGTAATAGGATATTACATAGCATGAAAAAGAACACCACATAATTTCTTATTTATGTAGTAGGATATTACATAGCATGAAAAAGAATATTTCACAACATGAAATAATCTCATAGAGTTCACTTCAGTTGAGATAAGCTAGACACAAAAGAGTATATAATATACTATTTAATGTATATGAAGTTCAAAAACAGGCAGGACTGGTCTATGATTATATAGTTTAGGACAGTTATTAGCTTTGGGGAAAAGTATTGACTGATAGGAGATTTAAGCACACTTTCTAGGGAACTAAAACATACTGTATATTCTGAATGCTGGATGTGATACACACACACACACACACACACACACACACATATCAAAATGTATCCATCTGATCTGTTTAAGGTCTGTAGACTTAACTGTGGATAAGTTATATCTCAATATGCACATAAAAATAAAAAGTCTGTCTTAAACTTTAGATCCTCATCTATTCATCTTAAAATCAATGTAAAGCATTGATTAACATGCATGTGATGTTGGGAAAAAAGCCACAAAATATTTCTTTAGGTCAGCCAATAAGTAATAAAATTAATTTGAACCAATTGATGTTAAAAGTAAAAATATTCAGTGATGTAACCTTAACATCAAGAATTTTGGAGAAAAATATTTTAAAGTAAGAATCAATTATATTAGCATCTGCTATGTGCCCATTACTCCAGATTACCATGGAAAACTTACATCTCTTAAAATACATTTGGTTGGTTTTTTTCTCCCTCCAGGTCTCTTTCAGAGGTTGAAATATAAAGTGATTTTGAAAGTACCAAAGGAAATGATTTTATACCACTGGAGTCTCTCATCATAAAGGAATATGCTCCAAGAAACAAAATATTTTATGCCTTGAAACAGTAACCTTAAATGACATCTTCATGGACTAAAGAAACGAATCTAGATTTTTCAAATATCTAATTATTTCCAGGGTCGTGTTCACGTGTTTGTAGGGTCTGGTGTATCTTCTTTTATTTCTTCTTACTTTTCTTTTTTATTATTGACTGTGTTGCTGTGCTAGAAACACAACCCTTTGAACTAACCCAGTTGCCAGGAGTCAGAAAAGCTTTTCTGACTCTGCAAAAATACAAGTTTTGTTTTGTGTGAATATCTTTTAGCTTGCCTCATTGTCCATTTTATATAATCTTAGAAACTGTTCATGTAAAATGGCCACTGTTTTGAGGTTTTGGCTGTACTTAGAAGACAAATATCCAGTATTATTACCTATCTCCTCATAAAATGCCTTTTTGATCTCTATGACATCACTTCGAGAACTATTTGCTCTCTGGGTTGCTAATCCACAGATGTGAATAATTCTTAGTAAAAAATTCTTGCTACTTTTTAAGTTCATCTAAAATGTCATAAATTACCTAAATCTTGGAACAATCTTCTCTAAGTTTCCTGAGTTAACCAGATACATCTAAGAGAGTCCCTCTGAGAAAGCAGGAAAGGCAGATGAGCATACCGATCACGAAGTTGGCTTTGGAGGATGACTGCCCATACTGTTGCTCAATGTACTTTGGTTTGTACGTCACCATGCCGAACAGAGAATTGAACTGAACAGTGCTTGTACATAAATACAGGAAGTACACTGGATTTCCAAAGAGATTCTTCAGTGATGGAAGAAAATCTATAAAACAAAAATAACATAGAGCAATTAAAGTTGGTGTCATGCATGGCAGAAGCAGCTCTGTGTCAGCAGGACTTACAGGGCTGGAGCCTATTGTCATGGAGTTTGGGAGTAGTCACAGTGTGGCGTACACACATACTTTGTATAATAAGCCACTGGCATGCATCAAGCCTGCGATCTGGCCACCTTCAAATCCAGACATAGGCACCCATTTCTACAGACATGCAGTATACATTATATTAAAGGTAAAAGTCGGACAAGAATAGATTCCTCTAGCTGATATGAGCAAAAGACAAAAAGGATGAGAATACTCCCTCACCCACTGTCTCAGAGCCACAGGCAGGAGAAAAAGACCTTCACTTTTCTTGTCTCTATTCCTCAAACTTAACTTGTGGTTAAAGGGAAAGAAATATGAGAGTTATCTCCATTTAACATATGAACATAAGTGCTAGAAATGAGCATTGGTCTCCCTTTTTTCTATTATGTAGCCTACCGATTAGACATGTGAAGAATTTCTATAAATGTAAATATTTTTTGAGGGACATCAGCAGGAAAGGCTGTGAAGCCTTTGGTAGTGTGCTGCAATCAGTTGTTCAGTAATAAAGCTGACATCGATTTCCATTTTTGCTTCTGATATGGTTTCTCAATTTTTTTAATACATGAAGGGATATAATTTATGAATCTCCTAATGTCCCAACAGGGAAAATAAAAATGCTTCAAAATCAAGAATTTGACTTACCTCTTGCCATTTCCATTATTTTTGCATTTTCTCCCTGGCATGTTTGGTAGTCTGTGTGATCATCTGTAATAAACTTGGATTTCTCAGAAGAATTAGAATCCTCTCTACTTCGGGGTCTTGGTAAACTCTTTGGCAAATACCAGAAAGGCACAGCTGCTAGAAGACTTAGGATTCCGGCTATTAGATAGCCAAGCCACCAGGCTCCTACCCATTGGGGATCTTTTGGGGTAATGGTTACGTAATCTGAAAGACAGAGGTGATGGCTAAGTAATACAAACAGCAAAGCTAATGTTAAAATAATCTACTTAAAATATATTCTTGCAATAGCTCTATAACCATGAAAATGCCTAGTAATTCATCTATTTTTTCTTTTTTTGAGCTGGATATTATCACAGGTATACCTTGGAGATTTTGTAGTTTCAGCTCCAGACCACCACAATGAAGTGAATTTCACAAGAAAGAGAGTCACATGAATGTTTTTGTTAGCCAGGGCATACAAAAATTATGTTTAACTACACTGTAGTCTATTAAGTATGTAATAGCATTATGTCTGAAAAATGTAAATACCTTAAGTTAAAAAATGTTATTACTAAGAAATGCTAACAATCACCTGAGCCTTCAGTGAATAGTGGTCTTTTTTGCTGGTGTAGGATCTCATATCAATGTTGATGGCTGCTTACTAATCAGGGCGGTGGTTGTTGGAGGTTGAGATGACTGTGGTGATATATGAACATTAAAAAAAACATGATGAAGTCTGTCACATAGATCAACTCTTTCCTTCATGAAAGTTTTCTCTAGTATACAATGCTATTTGATAGCATTTTACCCACAGTAAAACTTCTTTCAAAACTGGAATCAATCCTCTGAAACTCTGCCACTGCTTTATCAACTGAGTTTGTATAATTTACTAAATCTTTTGTTGTCATTTTAGTAATGTTCACAGCATCTCCATCAGGAGTAGATTCCGTCTCAAGAAACCATTCATTCACTTTGCTTATCCACAAGAAGCAACTCATCTGTTCAAGCTTTATCGTGAGATGTGCAGCAATTCAGTCACATCTTCAAGCTTCGTTTCTAATTAGAGTTGTCTTGCTATTTCTACCATGTATGCACTTACTTTCTCCACTGAAGTGTTAAACACCTCATAGTCATCCAGGAGGGTTGAAATAAACTTCTTTCATATTCTTGCTAATGTGGATTTTGACCTCCTCCCATGAATTACAAATGCTCTTAATGGCATCTAAAATGGTCAATCCTTTCCAGAAGGCTTTAAATTTACTTTGTCTAGATTCATTCGAAATGATTATTGATTGTAGCTCTAGCTTTATGAAATACGTTTCTTAAACAAAAAGACTTGAAAGTCAAAATCACTCCTTGATTCATGGGGTATAAAATGGATGGTATGTTAGGAGACATGAATACATTTCCCTCTGTACATCTCCATCAGAGCTCCTGAGTGGCTAGGTGCATTGTCAATGAGCAGTAATATTTTGAAAGGGATCTTTCTTTTCTGAGCATTAGGTCTCAACATTGGGCTTCAAATATTTGGTAAACCATGCTACAAAAAGATATGCTGTCGTTCAGCACATCTTTATTGTTCTATTTATAGAGCATAGGAAGAGTCTATTTGTAGGAATCTCAGAATGTTCAATGAGCATTGGCTTCAACTTAAAGTCACCAGCTGCCTTAGCCCCTAACAAGAGAATCAGCCTGTCCTTTGAAGCTTTAAAGTCAGGATTGACTTCTCCTCCGTGGCTGTGAAAGTCCTAGATGGCATCTTCTTCCAATAGAAGGCTGTTTCACCTACTAGGAAAATCTGTTGTTTAGCATAGCCACTTTTATTAATGATCCTAGTTCAATATTCTGGATAACTTGCTGCAGCGTCTCCACCAGCAACCTTGCACTTTTGTGTTACAGGGACAGCTACTTTCCTAAAACCTTATGAACCTGTTTCTGCCAGCTGCAAACTTTTCTTCTGCAGCTTCCTCATCTCTCTCGAGGGGCAGGGCCTTGCTCCGAATTACGTGTTGGCTTATGTGAATATTGTGGCTGCTTTAATCTTCTCTCCTGACTACTAAAACTTTATTTCAATAAGGCTATTTCACTTTATCTTTCTTGTGTTTACTAGAGTAGCACTTTTATAAATTCCTGCCAGAATTTCTCTTTTACATTCACAACATGGGCAACTGGCGTAAGAGGCCTCGATTTTCTCTTGTCTTGCCTTTCAACATGCCTTCTTTCCTAAGCCTAATCTTTTCTAGCTTTTGATTTAAAGTGAGAGATATGTGACTCTTCCTTTCACTTGAACACCTAGAGGCCTTTGTAGGGTTACTAATTGGCCTAATTTTAATATTATTGTGTCTCAGGAATAGGGAAGTCCAAAAAGAGAGACAGGGGAATGGCCAGTCAGTGGAGCAGTCAGAACACATACAAGGTTTATTAATTCAATTTGTCATCTTATATGGGCACAATTGTGGTGCCCCAAAACAATTACAATAGTAACATCAAATATACACATATCACAGATCTCCATAATGGGTATAATGATGATAATTTTTAAAAACTTGCAATATTAGGAGAATTATCAAAATGTGACATGAAGACACAAAGTGAACGCATGCTGTTGGAAAAAATGATGCCTAGAGACTTGCCCAACACAGGGTTGCCACAAATCTTAAATTTAAAAAATATACAGTATCTGCAAAATGCAATAAAGTAATGCACAGTAAAACAATCTAGGTCTGTATTATCTTTGTTATTGAAGGAAAGAGAGTGCTTTTTGGAGCAAGATAATTTATTTTGTTCATTAGATCAAAAATTTAGAGTCTAAATTCTGGAAGAGGCTTCATGATTTTTAAATTATGCTCTGAGGTTCTGCAGAGAGACCCTGCTGGAAGACAACACATGAGGGAGAATTTTTAAGGGTCAAAACCTCATGTGGCAGCTCCTCTATCTCAGCACCACTTTCATTTGATTTACAGATTGAATGTGTGAGATTTTACTTGAAGAGTTATGCCTTGCACCCTCCAGTCCAAACTTCATGGAAAACTCTCATTATGATAGTAAATTTGAGGCTCATTCAAATCAGCAGAATATTTTTTATTAAGTAGTGGTTAATAATATTTCAGAGCTATTCTAGATATGAAGAAAGATTTGTAAAGCAAAATTTTAGTATCTTATTCATCATGAAAACTTTGTTTTTGACATAATCTCCCATTTGACTAAAAAGTAAATACTGACTTTTTTTAAAATTAAACCAAGTGGGTGTTGTTTTCTTCCTGTGTAAGAAGTTATAAACATTTATTATATTCTACCATAACACTCTGTGAGAACAAAATAAACACATGACTCTTGACAAGTAGGCTCAACTGCCACTGCATTATACTGGGTAAAATGCTTTTCTAGTTTATCACTGCATGTTAATTGCTTCCCCTTAACAATTTTCCTCGGTACTGCTCATCACATCTATATTTTCTTGTCTTTAAAAATCCATGAGTGGTTTTCAAACTTCATGAAGTCAAGGAACTCAACTGATTTGTTCAGAGCTGTAGAATAGCACCTGGCATAAAGTCAATGCAAAATAATTGGATAGGAGCTAATGAATGAATAAATAACATTTTCGAAGCTTGCCTTGTAGTTTATTTGATTTAAATGCAAGAATTTTGCTTTCCGTTTTAACAGGCAGACTTCAAAATGCAATTCCATGTTTGTTTTTTAAGTGAAACTTGTTTAGTTTGTAACTGATCTCTTGGAATTCTTTAAAAAAAAAAAAAGTACCGACAAATGCCATCTATTTCTAGAAGGGGTGTCTCACAGAGATAGAAACAGATTAATAGCTGTGAAAAGATCAGTGTCTTCTTTGCCATTTATTTCCTACACAAGCAATATCCCAGAAGGAAAGCCAGTCTTGCTTGATAATATGCTGTAATATACTTACACCTAAAAATGACTTGTAGAGTAGCAAAAAGGAAGGGCTGTTTGGATGCCAGTAGACGTTTAATCCTTGGTCTTTCTGTCAAGTCCCCAAATACTTTATCAATTGATATAACTGTAATAAATGTTGACACACCTGAAGCCAACAAGCACCAACAAGTAGCTACAGTTTTCAGTCTTAACTATGCTGGAATGCATTTAAACTGACAAATCATAGTGAAAAAGGATACATCTTAGTAACAAATCATTGGTCATCTAGTTCTATTCATCAAGGTTTTTCATATTCCATTTATTAATATGTATGATTGGATTAAACTTTTCATTTTATGAAAGATTACTATTCTGTCACTTATAAAAGGGCAATTTGATAATTTCCACACTGTTCTCATTAAAAATGTTACAGTAACTAAAATAAATGAATAAATAAAAAAATAAACTCCCTTACCTAGGTTTACAAAGCCAATGTCAACATATAGTTTGGCACATAATGAGCCTAACAGGAAACCAAAGATTGGTCCTATAATTGCAACCGTCTGCACGCACCCTGCACCAAGGAAAGAAAAAGGGAAACAGCTGTCATTTCTTTACTTTGATAAATTAGTAAAATTTTAAACAAGAAATGTGAGATCCAGTTAGCAGCCCAAAATGTTTTAACTCATTTGTATGTGTTTAATTTTAAAACCACACTGAATCAGGTAATAAGTCCTTTACTGCTTTGGGAGAAGAAGCGACACATTTAAAGCATTAATTATGTCTTAGTAAGAAAATAACATTAATACTCTGAGGAAGTTAATTTTTCAAAAGGGAGCAAACTGTATTTCCCAGGATTAGATTGCCCATTGACAAAAATTGGAATTGTATTAATTTTGGTTGTTTGTCAAAAATGTTTTACGGTCAGTTAAGCCTAAGACTTGTCTTGACATTCATATGGGTTTCTTCCACCTTAGTAAAAAAGTGCATCCATTCATTCCGAGGTTCTGTGGGATCACTAGTGAGAACAGGGCCTATGCAGATCCCCAGATGCAGCTGGTAAAGGTGCTAGGTTTTGGAGCAGGAAAAGTGCTCTCTGGGACCCTCTTGACCATTCAGGTCAACCTTCACAGGAAGGTGAAACAGATGGCCTAAAGGACACCATTTCTAGTAACCAGAAAGGTGGTTCTTCCTTCCAAATATCTCCAGTGTGTCTTTCATTTCACCACAAGGCTTAAAACACACATATTCATGGGAGATTAAGTTAATTGGAAGAATAAACAGCCGTTACCAGCTACTTTTTGGAATAGAGGGAAAAGAGAACAGGTTCTGAGCTCCTAGAGAAGAAGGGGGGACACCTAGCACCTGTGTGCTTCTCCTGGCTGTGACCTTTCCTCCAGTCTCCAGAGTTATTTCCTAGTGCAGCTGATGAAGTGTTTGTGGTAGCTGCAGTTCCTGATTTACACTGGAGTTTTCTGTTAGAGTAAGAGCTGTGATCTTACCTATAGCCTATTTGGGTGTAACCAGCACCCTCTGGAGTCCTGCAGAGCCTAGTCCAGGCAAGATTATACAGTGGACCCCTCAAGATTATACTCTAGCACCCCTCAATGAATTTAAATCTTGCCTCTCTGTCCCTGAAGGTGAGGCCTTTAAAGGATCAGAATTTCAAGAAATGGCGACTCGTGTGTCAGCACCACAGGAAAGGGTAAAATAGCAATTAAAAAAGGAGAGACTGACGTGTTACTAGCTTAATATCAGGACATGAGAGGAAACCAATGCTGTTTAGATGCATCTTACCTTAGGAGTTTGCCTTTGCTATATTCTTTTGGTGTTTGAGATTTTAGCTGCTGGTCTACTTCCTAGAATGTGTTCCAGAGATGAGGTAGCCTCAGGCCTTACTTCTTTTTTTTTATACCTTTCTTTACCCATTTTTACCTGCTTTTGAGATCTCAAGATTTTTTGTTGCCTATCCCTCATAGCTTTAATTAATCAGGGCTTATAAAATGGAAAGCAGTTTCTAAGCTCAAGAAACAAACTTTTAAGTAAACTAAAATGCCTAAATGCTTTAGCAGTATAGGTAACCCACTAAAAAACCTATGAAGTCTGAAGCCTGTGAAGTTACTTTTACAAGGTCAAACGTCATTGCAGTTATTTTCTTTTAATCCGATGCTTCTTTTCTAATGCAATAGCTCCCTCCAACTGTGGTGTCTTCGTCATCCAAATCTTAAGTGCGCTCTTCAGAAATGTGTGAGCTAAATAGAGGAGTTGTATATGATGTATAAAAAGCTTCCACATTTAATTTAACATAGAATAGAATTCAGAAAACTAGACACCCTGCTTCCCAAAAAGACGAGTGAAGCAATATTCCAATATTACCAATATAGAAAGCTGCATTGTCTTCACTGGCAAAATCATCCAGGTAGGCAATGCCCAGAGGCTGAATGGGAGTTTCTCCTATTCCACGAAGAAGATTTCCCAGGAAAACATAAATCCACATGGAAGAGCTAGTGTCAACTTCACATTCTTGAAAAAAAGGCAAACGAGGATTGAAAATAGATCACTATGAAAATATTTATTCTGTATTTCTACAGTGTATCTTAAACAGAACTAGAATGCAGAAGTTTGTGCAATAGTCATAATTTAATGGGAGTTTGGTCAAGTTTGAAAAACGTTTTATATCTTCAACCTTTTAGGCAGAGTAAATCCCTGAGAGACTTCACCAAGAAACTCCATTGCTTCTTGTTCCTGGTGCCTTCACTTTTTATTTTCTCTCTTCTTTTTATTTCATTCCTGCCCTGAGCTATTTGAGTTCCCACACTGCAATGACATTCAATATCTATCTGTGGCAAAACAGAAAATTTTGAACAAAGTCTTTCTCACCTTAATTTTTAGTTCTATTTTTCAGCAGAAATCACAAGTAATCTTATTGTTGACCCAGTTTTATCTTAAATTCAAATTTTTATACAGTTGATATTCCAACATTGGGCAGTATTACCTACATTTATACTTGTTAATGAATAACCATGCTTTAGGGCTCTGGAAACAAATTTACATAAAAAATATAAATCCATATACTTTAGCAGTATAGTTATTCCAGCAAAAAGATACCTTTTGACAGCAGTTTTAGAGTAAAATTCAAGGATAACAGTTTTTAAATGCTTTCATAAAATTTGTGTCTTAATATGATCATGTGCAGTAGGATAACTGCCCTCATGTCATAAATGAAATATAGCTTTGAAGGTTTAGGTGCTTTAATAAAATTGATAATGTTAACAACCTTCAATAATCATCGCTGCTGAATGTTCTTTCTCTGCCACGTGCTGAACTAAGTGGTTTGCAGGCATTTTTTAATTGAATTCGCCTATGAGGTAGGAGTTATTTTCACTTGCTAATAACTCTTAATTTTTGATTGTGAAAAATAGATTATGTGAAGAATCAAGGTGAATACCTTTGAGCAAGTGAATCAAACCGCATAACAGTAAAGACTACTTGGCACTCATTTGGATTCTATCTATTCTATCTCATTTGATTTCTATCGTTCTTGCCCTGTGATTTGAATGCATCCTCCTGAACATATCTATTACATCCTTTCACGTTCTCCTCTTTGTCAGATAGAATCTTTTACTTTTCTGCCTCTTTTACAAAATCTTAAACTTTTCTGCCTCTTTTAGAAAAGTTCAAGTGATCATGGAATTTTCGTTTGTCTTCTCTGAATTTCTGTTCTGCTTCCAAAAATATAATGTGAATTCCCTTTCTAAAAATTAACTCTAACGTACATTCTAGAGCCCTAGCAATTGCGTAATTCTCAGAAGCTTGTTGGTAGGAGAGTCTTGTAGTAGAAGAGTGTAGACACCTTAGGACGGTGCTTTTTAATACAGTAACCATAAGCCACATGTGGCTATTAAAATTGAAGTTAAATAAAATTAAAATTCAGTTTTTCTGTCATACTGGCTATACTTCAAATATCCAATAGTCGCATGCAGCTAACGCCTACTGTATTGGACAGCAAAGACAGAAGACATTCTCATCATCACACAAAGTTCTGTAGACAGCTCTGCTCTAGATGTTGCAGGGGAGATGAGGATTGTATGGGGAGCACTTTTGAGAAGATCCTTATCATTAACTTAAGGGTGAGCCTTGTGTCCACTATGTCTAAGAAAACAAACTTGAAGGGAGGAGGACCTCACTTGAAGGAAAGAAAATAATTGAGTTCTGAGTCGTTCTCTGTATCTACCTGCTAACTTGTCCCTTTATTAAAAAACAGTTTAATTACTGACTGTAAGCCCTGTGTTTTACTTTTCACCTTTTAACATTACTGGCTTACATATTTCCTAACTTGTTGTACTGTCTTTATATCATGTGTCTTGCAAAACAAAACATCTTCCCTGACTGTGTATTGTATACAGATGAAACTGCAGGCCCTTCCGTCAGCTCCCTGCTTCCTTATGTGAACCTAAATCATTTTTAGTATCCATTATATTTTTACACAAACAAGGCTGCTGTTCTTGCCCTGTGATTTGAATGCATCCTCCTGAACATGTCTATTACCTCCTTTCACGTTCTCCTCTTTGTCTAGAACATGTTCCTTCTTTGATACAGCAGGAGAGGGTAAGCTTTTTACATTTTTGTGCTCTCGCTTTTCTTCCCCTCTCACATTTCCATATGTTTTTAATCCTTTGGCCCCTCCCTTCATTCAAATATCCAGTGTTCATTGCCCAGAAAAAAAGGCATCTCAACAGAAAGTACTAATGGGAATATTAGGGGAGTCTAAAGGTCTTGTGGAATAGATAAGAGATTTGGATGAATAGCAGGTATATATTAATTTATAAAAGGCTTCAATTCTGCCTGTATACAATGTGATTCTTCAGGTTAGGAGTAGGGGGTGAAATTGGGAGGTGGCAGGGAAGGAGTGTGGAGCACACTGATGCTGAAGGGAAGCAGAAGGGAGAAGAGGGGATTTGCTCTCCCTGCCTATACCGAGTCCTAGAGACACAGTAAACACCTGTGGGTAAATTCATGGCTACTCTGAGTAAGGAAAATCTGTTACCTTGGCCAGGTGAAGCCCAGGCAGGAGGCAAGACTCTACTTCATTCTAGTTCAGCATTCCTGCCTTTGATTCACAGGACTTCCAGTGTCTACAGTGACATAGAAAACAGCATTCCCATGTTCCCAAGGGTATCTCAGACAAAGCATTGCTGTGCTGTATGCATCGGCCATCTAGAACACTAGGCACTGACAACATCTGCATCCTAGCTCGGATGAAAAATAGAATTACTTCCATGTGTCTAAGATGGCCACTTCTGTACTAGAGAGAGCTGCTGTGAAAGAAAAATATGAACATGGACATAAGATAGCCCCATGGTGACAAGTATGACCAAACATTGTGACCACAGGGGTTTTAGATAAGCTGGCAGGGAAATGAGAACATCGAGAACTCTCGCCACGGCTGCCCATTTTACTCTTATATAAGCTCCCTAGAATGTAAACAACCCCTGGGGACAAAAAGGGAGGTGAGGGACAAATTGAGATTACATTTTTGCCATTCTGATGAAAAGTAGCTGAACATAGAAATTATATTGACTTATGGGAAAAATTCTTTCATATCTGAGCAATGGATTGAGATTTGTATGTGCTGAACTAACTAGTGCCACCCTGCTTTCGAGACCAGCTTATTTAGAAGCATTGAAGATTTTCCCAGGCATTATTGATTAATGCTCCTTTTTTCCATAAGCTTTGATCATCTGGTATATTTTCTAAGGATTTCATCCTTTACTGCTTCGTAATCTAGGAATTTTTATGGCACTGTGATATCTCAGTTTAAGTAGTAAAGCTTTTGGGAGCAAAAATCATAGACATTTTTGTCCACGCTAAAGCAAATGAAAGTCTTTTTTTAAAAAGCTTGCTTAAAAGTCAAGTCAAAAAAATGATCTTACCTTTACTTATTTTGGATTTTGATTTTTCCATAACTGAAACTGGTAATTGACTGCTTGACTCTAGGAGACACGGAGAGATGCTGAGAGTAGAATTGGAGGAAGGAGAATACCTCTCATATTTGTACCTGTATAAGAAGAATGCTTTCTTCATGATAGACTCATAACATCATACTAAAAATATTACGTGTATGCTACACGAATCATTAGGGTGCCTGGTTGAGCTTGCAACTGTCTCTGAGTCTGATTCACCAAACCAAACTAGCATTTAACAGCAGATTTTGCTGAAGAGATAGGCGGAAGATCCTGCTCATAGATTACGCCAAGCTTGTCCTACCCATGGTCTGTGGGCTGCATGCAGCGCAACATGGCTTTGAATGCAGCCCAACACAAATTCATAAACTTTTTAAAAAATTATGAAATTTTTTGGTAATATTTTTAGCTCATCAGCTATTGTTAGTATAGTTTATGTGTGGCCCAAGACAATTCTTCTTCCAGTGTGGCCCAGGGAAGTCAAAATTCGGATACCCTTGTGTTACGTTATACCTGGGCCAGTTAATTAATGAAAGAAAATAAAAGTAAAAAGTAATCCCAGTACTTTGGGAGGCCAAGACTGGTGGATCACGAGATCACGAATTCGAGACCAGCCTGGCCAAGCTGGTGAAACCCTGTCTTTACTAAAAACACAAAAATTAGCAGGGCGTGGTGGTGAGTGCCTGATATGTCGGGAGGCTGAGGCAGAGAATTGCTTGAACCCAAGAGGCAGAAGTTGCAGTGAGCCGAGATAGTTCCACTACACTCCAGCCTGGGCCACAGAGCTCTCAAAAAAAAAAAAAAAAAAAAAAAAGAAAAGAAAAAGTACTCATAGAGGTTCATCTTAAAGTAAACTAATGACTGTAAATCACCTCCCCATTAGGTGAAAAAGTATCCAACTTGATAAAAATCATGATTTTCTGAGTCAGAGAAAGTCATTATTCATTGCTAATTGAACAATATATTAGCATCAGCATACTTTATTTAGAGTTGTAAATTTAGTAGAACAATTACAAGGCTGATTCTGGAGAATAGAAAATGACACATGAATTTTGTACTATTTATCCTGATGTTATTCTGCTTTTTCTCTACTGCTTGCTAGTATAGCACAAAGTTACTTCTAATCCTGCTCTTTCCCCCATTTATAAGGTTATGATAGCAGCTGGGATAAATAGCCATTGCTTAGTGGGCATCCTGTGATAATGCTAATCAACAATTTCCCCAGCTCTACTCTTGGACTCAAATTATCCTTCATGCCCCATGTTCTCCACACTCTTTGTACCCCTTGGGGAAGAGGTATCTGGTAAGAAAACATCCCAGCATCATCTTGATTCTCATTTTATTCAGGCACTGTTGGCCAAAGGCTAGTAATCATAGGAATAGACACTGGCGAATTAATAGTAAAGAACTGTTTATTCGGCATAGTAAAGAAAAGATGTATTACTAAAATATTCACATTGATAAATAAATTAGCTTAAATCTGTTTTGTGCAATCTACGTCTCAATGAGTTTATGAACCCCACTGAAAAATTAAGAACATTTTTGTATGCATGTTTTTATGTGAATGCTTAAGAGAAGAGGGTTCCAGTAATTAAAATTTTATCAAATGGTTTACTGACCATAGTAGGTTAAGAATCACTTAATGAAATTGACTGTTTTCAATTCTTAACCACATATGACACCATTTAGCATTGAAATCATGATAAATATAATTTTATTTCATTGATAATTACAGAGAAAACATTGACTACTATGATGCTTTAAGACTATTGAAGTGAGAATGGATAGTGATCATAGAGTATTTTGAAAAATTGTAATTATTTTAACTCAGTTCTTCTGTCAACAGGTTACTGTTGCAAGCATCATAATTATTTTGACTTTAAGTGCCACTTTTGTTACTAATTACTATCTGTGATTCTCTAAAAAATACTGTTTAGGTTTTAATTTTCTTAGTTGAAAAACGAGAGGTATGGATGTGGTCTGTATCTATTCAGACTCTGTTGGAGAAGAGACAAAGATGTAATTAATTAAATCTGGGACTAATATTAGAAATGCTTTTATATTAGGGAATTTATTTCTGACCTGCATGCCAATCCTGACTGATGCACTCTTGACTTTGATGTAAGAAATCTTACGTTAGTCTCCTAAATAGTCTCCCTGCTTCCAATCTTGCCCACCAGTCAATTCTCCAAGTAGCAGTAAGTGTGATGCTTTAAAAATATAAGAAAGATCATGTCACTCTACTCAAAACTTTCTAAGCTAAATATTTGTAATTGTCCTAACTTTATGACTCAAAGGATGGTCTGCAGATCAGCAACATCAGCTGAATCTCAGCACCATCCCCAGGGCTACTGAATCACAATTTGCAGTTTACCAAGAGCCTCAGGTGATTCCAATGCCCATCAAAGTGAGAAACAACCTTGACATAGCCTCTCATTCCCTTTTACTTCTCAGCGTGCGTCTTCTGTGCTTGCCCATGGTCATTGCCTTGTAGCCACACAGGCCTCCTTGCAGGTCATCTGTGCACCAGACTTCCTCTTGCTGCAGAAACTTTGCCTTCACTGTTCACTGAGGCTAGACGTCTTCTTTCCCAGATATCCATATGGCTCTCCCCTTTACCATTATCAGGTCTTCTTCAAATGTCACCATCTCTGTGAGCCATACATTGACTAGCCTACTTTTTTTTTTTTTGAGACGGAGTTTTGCTCTTGTTACCCAGGCTGGAGTGCAATGGCACGATCTCGGCTCACCGCAACCTCCGCCTCCTGGGTTCAGGCAATTCTCCTGCCTCAGCCTCCTGAGTAGCTGGGATTACAGGCACACGCCACCATGCCCAGCTAATTTTTTGTATTTTTAGTAGAGACGGGGTTTCACCATGTTGACCAGGATGGTCTCGATCTCTTGACCTCGTGATCCACCCGCCTCGGCCTCCCAAAGTGCTGGGATTACAGGCTTGAGCCACCGTGCCCGGCCGACTAGCCTACTTTGTACTTCAGCCACCCCGACCAACCACACACACTCTTTATGTGTCTTCACTGGGTTATTTTTCTCTATAGTTCTTACCATTCTCTGACATATTGTATTTGTTTATTTTCTGTCCCTTCCTCAAAAAATCTATTAGGGCAGAGATTTTTTTGTCACTACTCTTTCTTTGCTGCCTAGAAAAATTATACATATATATATATATATATTTGCTAAATTAATGAGTTAAATGAGCTTACACATAAAACGAAACAGCCTATTAGGAATAGACCCTCAGTAGTTGCTATCCATGATTAATAGCTTTTGTTGGACATCAAGGATATTTCTGTAAAGGAGACAGCATAGTTATCTCTTAGAGAATGAATACCACATTTTGAATAAGCACCCAATTAGTGACTAATACTGTATAAAGCTGGAAAGAAATTAGATAATCCTCAGTAGAGAGCAAGCTTCATGAAGGAAGGGTTGTGTGTGTTTTTGTTTTGTTTTGCTTTCTCACAGAAATAGATCCATTACCTGACATTGTACCTGGCAAGTATATTAAATAATAAATAAATATGTTCTCTAGCATATCAAAAATATTGGATAAGAATCTGTCTGTCCCTTTTGGTATCCTTTGTCAACATTAGCCTGTCTGGTTGTCCCACCTTCTTTTTGATACATTTTTCTCTCTGATTTTCTTATGTGGGTGTTCTATATTTGACACTAACTTAAAGTAATAAAATTATTAATATGTATACAGCAGCTTTAAGACAAAACCATTGCTGGTTAAAACCAGGTGGCTTAATGAGCTAAGAGGATGGATAACACACAATGATAATACAGCTACTAGTTAGGCTGGTAACCATGATAACCATTTTACCTGTGTCATCTCACTTAATATTTGCAATGACATTATGTGCTAGGTATTATTTTTAAAACCTGTTTTAAGATGCAGAAACTGAGACCTAGAAAAATTAAGTAATGCAGCCACTGCCACATAGAACATCCACTGCATAGTGATTTAAGTCTGGAGTAATGGGTTTATCTATCCTATGTGACTACTTTCACTTTTTAAATTTTTTCAGTAGTGGAACTATTTTTCCCTCTGAGCAAACTGTCACATGGAGGATCAATGAATCAACAGATAACAGCAACACCACTAAGGATCAAGCAGGAATTAAGCAGATTGGAGACCCATTTTCTCATTCTTCTCCTTCTCATTCTTTCTGCGGGCTGAACACATAAAACATTTCTACAGAATCTCAGTGATAAAGGAAGGAGGTTGTCCAAAGAGCAGGCAGAAATCCCCAAACTACAGAACCACCTCCAAGTAAAAATTTAGGGTCCAGGGAATTCATCCAAATGGGTAGAAAAGCTCCCACTCAGACGATTCTGTGCCCTACCTTGATAGATTGGCCAGGGAGGTCAAAATCTGACTGTACTTATATAAGTAGTCTAGAAATTCAAGAAAAAGTTCAAACTAGGTTATTTCTAAATCTCTCTGGCTCTAAACTGTCTTGATACAATGATTTGGAGTGGACAATAAAGTATCACTTGAAATATAAGTTTTTAAAAATATTCTCTTACTTTGAAACCTTTTGGTATTCATTTCCTTTTCAGCGATAGATAAACAGAGAGAAGGGCAGTGAAACAGATATGCATGTAGGCTGCTGCCACAGAAGTCAGCTGACTTGTTTTAGGGTTCTGGTTTCATAATTACAAGACACTTAAACTTGCAAAAGTCATCAGACTCTTCAAGTCATGGGGTCTGGTTCTTAGCTCTAAAGTAAAAAAGATAAACTATGCTCTCCTACACGACAGATTGCTGTAAGGGTAAAAATGATATGGGTAAAAATCTTTAGAACTACTAAAGTTGTATGCATATATTAACAAAAGTACCAAAAGTAGACTTTTGGGTTAGAGGATATAGACACCCCACTTCTATTGATAAAGGTCTAAGAGATACTTTTTGGACACTGAATAGTTGTGTGAGTTGATAATATATCCCCAAGGTAATTATCTACCAGCCAGTGTTCCATAATCCAGAATTTATTATCTGTAGTATTCATTAATAATTATCTATTTGACATTTACCACGTTAATTTATTTTCAGTTATATATTTTTCCTCCACAGCTAAATTAAAGCATTTGACTCAAAACATAGTAGTTAAAAATCTTTCTTTAATCTTGAATCTTGTCATTGTACAGTAATCTATCAATTTTTTTATAGTTTGTCAGAAGAAAAATTATAAAATTGTTCTAAAATGTTATCCAAAGACAATGTAATAAAAGTAAGACAAAATTATCATGAGTCAAGCTTAAATTTAAATAAAGGCAAGGAAAACATGATTGCTTTAGACTTACTGCTCCATGAAGAACTGAGGCATTGCGATCAGCAGTGTTCCAACGCCCATGATTAGACACCCTGCTCCAATTATTTTTGGCCTGTGAAGTTTGGCTCCAAAGTAGCTAACAAATGTTATAACTAAGAGATTCCCTTTGAGGAAAAAAAATAAAACATCATAAATTAGAGAACTTAGAAGTCAACAGCATAACTGAATGAACGTATATAGCAGATCAAGCAATGTTTTCTTTTGACTAAGCTATCTCCACATCATTTATTTTTTCCTTTAATCTGAGATGATTCTTGATATTCTGCGGATGGATCACTTGAGGTCAGGAGTTCAAGACCAGCCTGGCCAAGATGGTGAAACCCTGTCTCTACTAGACAAATACAAAAATTAGCCAGGCGTGGTAGCACACACCTGTAACCCCAGCTGCTTGGGAGGCTGAGGCAGGAGAATCACTTGAACCTGGGTGGCAGAGGTTGCAGTGAACTGAGATTGCACCATTGCACTCCAGTCTGGGCAACAGAGTGAGACTCTGTCTCAAAAAAAAATAATTTATCAGTAAGTCAAATGCTGTAAGGCATCCTTTACCTTCTCTCTTAAATATTTTTTTACTAATTTTGAAGTAAACTTCTTTTTTCTTCATTCATTAAAATTTTTATGAAACTTCCATTAGTGTTCTAATTGCTTGTGAAATATACATAACAAATTTTCTTTTGCTGATACTCTTTACAGAAAAATTAAGCACAACCGCATTTCACTTTAAATGAAATAAAATGATGAAACACATGTACACAAATGATACTTTATGATTTGTTCATACACTTTGTAAAAAAAAAAAGATTGACTCACAATAGAAATAAAATTATTCCACATAGGCAACTTTAGGTATACATCAAGTATATAACCTCAACATATGCCTAAAAGTAAGACAAAACATAACACAAATTTGATAAAATACGAAGTCTTTATAAAATATGCCATCTATCTCTTTTGTGAAAAATGGTTTAAAATTATTGGGGTTTTTTTGAAAGTAGAAATTAGGCTTTTCTAAAATGTCTCTAGTAAAGCATGTGATATATGACTTTTAGTTGATGATGGTAGTAAGTGATTAAACATATTAATCAAGTAATATTTCTCATGCTTTGCTGTGCATAAAAATACTGAAAGGAAATGGTTAAGAAAATGGAAACTTGTCAAAAATGCAGATTCTTGGCAAGTACCAAAAGCTTCTGATTCTATGGATCTGGGGTCAAGCCAAGAAATCTGCATTTCTAATACTGACTCAAGCGTGTTGATAAGGATGGCTCCTGGAACATGCTTTGACAAACATTGTTTAGGGTTTTAGACTTCAAGGGATTTTAAAGTTTTAGCTACATTTATTTGAGACATTTAATTTTTAAGATGTACAGTGCTAGATAGAGTAAGAATTTAACAATTTCCCAGCAATGGACTGTGATGGCTAATGGGTGGCTTTGCTTTGAAGCTCTCCTCAGTTCCAATTTTTGAGGTAGAGCATGTTTCCCTACACCTGTAAGCAATCATCTAACTTGCTACTGTTCAGTCACATTGCCAGCTTTGGTAAACTGGAAATAAAGTAGTAATTTTTATAGGCTTGAGGATAATAATAATGATAGTGAGATACATTACTTGCCCAGTGTTCCTAGTCTGTATGGCTCCAGGAAGAATTAAGTTCTTCTTAATGTTCAGATTAAAACACTAGTACATGAGCACAAGGTTTCTCATTTGAAATTTATGTATTTAGTAGAAGACATTGTATATCATATTGTTTTGATAATTCTATCCATATGTTTGTTAACACAACATATGTCCCACAATAAATGGACCACAATAAATAAACCAATATAAAATGAAAGCTGACTTTTACTTCATAGGCAGTTCTCTGCTACCCTCGCCTACACTTCATCAATATCACACAATAAAGGACTCCTGTTTACAAGCTATTTCTGTAGAGTGTGTATGTGTGTGTGTGTGTGTGTGTATACACACATATAGATACACACACACACACACACACACACACACATATATATATATATATGGTATATTGATATATACTATATCTATAGAGGTTTTTGCCTCCTTGGTATCCTTTCTGAGTTTTCAGGAGATACACTTGGAAGATAAATGATGATACATAATCTTATAATCTTTCTTTCTTTTTTTTTTTTTTTTTTTTTTTTTTTGAGACGGAGTTTCGCTCTTGTTACCCAGGCTGGAGTGCAATGGCGCGATCTCGGCTCACCTCAACCTCCGCCTCCTGGGCTCAGGCAATTCTCCTGCCTCAGCCTCCTGAGTAGCTGGGATTACAGGCACGCACCACCATGCCCAGCTAATTTTTTGTATTTTAAGTAGAGACGGGGTTTCACCATGTTGACCAGGATGGTCTCGATCTCTTGACCTCGTGATCCACCCGCCTCGGCCTCCCAAAGTGCTGGGATTACAGGCTTGAGCCACCGCGCCCGGCCGATGATAAATAATCTTTATGAAATGAACTTGGATATCAAAATTCTTCCACATCTACCACCATTAGCCTTTCACAAAAAAAAAGGTACAGAAAGTTTTAGAAATATGTCTTACCAAACTTTAAAGTAACAGATTCTTGCTCTCTTCTCTCTTTTTCTGTCTCCCTCTGCACACATGCACACACACACACACACACACACTTCAGATAACAGAAAAGAAAGCAAGCTACTCAATTCATCTTGTGAGACTACTATTTTCTTAAAACTAAACTAAAAAAGGACAGTGTAAGAAAAAACAATTCGAGCCCAAAGTTGGTTATGAAGATAGATGTGAAAATTCTAAACAAAATATTAGCAACCTGAATAGTATATAAAAATAAAAATATCCAAACCAAGAGCAGTTTATTATAGAAGTACAAGAGTACCACCAAGTATAAATGTTATTAATTAAATCACTATATAACAAATGGAAGGGAATAATTCCATGGTTAACAAAGTAAAAGCACTCAATAAAATTAATCATTTATGTTAAGAAAAAACAAATCCGAGCAAACCAGTTTTTAAAGTGTATCTATCAAAATCACAAAGCAAGCATATTGCTTAATACTAAAAATTTAAAAGTATTTGCATCAAGGTCAAACATAAGAGAAAGATGTCCATTGTAAATGCTTCTCTTTAGCGTAGTACTGAGGCTAGTGTGATGGGGTAATAATAAGAAAAAACAGATCTAAGAGTTGCAAAGAAAGATACGAAATTATATTTTGTTTCAGACAATTTTGTCTATTTTGAAAACTCTACAGTTTCTATGGAAAATCAATTAAAACTAATAGAATTTCAACAAAGTTGCCACATACAAATAACATAAAGATAGAAGATGATATCGGTTCCAGAATCTTGGAAAGAAGGAATGTGAAAAGAGGCAAAAGAAGTAAATTAAGATTATGTTCAGGAAAGTCACTTGTCTGGAAATTTATATAATTCAGATAATTAGGGCAAACCAGTGATGTTTGGGATAAAGGTTTTCAATGGAAGTAAGAGAACATTTAAGCTATTATAAGGCAACTAATCCAATAAATAATTTATCTACCTAGGATGGTCTGGAAGAATTCATGTGAATCTAGGGTCATGGTTTTTTGCTATTTTCTATGAAAACTTAGCACTCTCTATCAAATATAGACTTTTTCTCTCAAGTTTCACCGGGCCCTGGGAGCCCAAACAAAACTTTGGACCTTATAATTTCTGTGCCTCTTCAGCTCTAACATATTTTTATACAATAATCTAGAGAGAGAAAAACATCAAAGCATCATGGTATATGATTTTTTCGCTGCCCGTGTCTGCTCTGTTCTTTTATCTGCACCAGTTACCTCCTCCTCCTCCTTGCTTCCTCCCATGATGCAGTTTGTCACCCTTTACCTTCTCTTCATTCAGTGTAGGGTTAACAGGAGAACAGGGGTCAAGGAATCAATCAACCATCTGGGCCAGTCTCAGCAGATGACATAAACGATGGATGGCATAAGATGTTTTAGAAACTTGCTACACAAAATGTGATCTATTGAATAGAAGCATCAGCATCATTTAGGAGCCTATTAGAAATGCAGAATTTTATCCTGTTCCTACCAAATCAGGTTTTTAAAAAGAGTTTAAAAATTGCCCAGTTATTTGTATGGACATTAAAATTTGATTGGCACTAAGAAAGGTCATTCTGGAGGGGTGATAAAAGGTGAATTTGGGAAGCCAATGCCTGAAGGCAAAAGGTTACTTATTCATTTTATTTTTTTTTTCTGTAACATTCAGAGTAAGAACTAAACACATAGTATGAACAAAGAGAAATGGTTGAAGAGTTGAAAAATATTTATTAATTTTTTCTGAAAGTTCACCAGGTAAAGCTAAAATTGGTTTTTGCTATAGCATAGACCTGCATCTAAACAAGAATTAAGGACCAGAGAGAGTACTATTTGGTTTACTTCAATAAAAAAATCAAGCGTTTTAGTTTACCAGTTCAGGAGCAGACTAACTAGGATCATCCTCTTTAAATTACTTCTAAAACAGTGACTCAAATTACTTGGTCTTTTTAAGTTCTAAGAAGGAGTCCATAGTCAATGGCTAACTGAAGACACCTAAGAGTAGAATTTTTATTGCCTGCTCTGATCTTGTGTTCTAGGTAATAGAATCATTTTATTCTTCTTTCTAGGCCACTGGGTGGAAACATCCCTTTTATGATGTAACTTCTTTCATCATTCTTGATTCTCTTTGAATGTTCCCATTGTAGAGTCCATTTGGATTATTTCACATTTCTAAAATTGAATCATAGGGCTCCCAGGGTATATTGTTCTTCTGTAAAGATACTTCTATAGATTTGTAACTCAAAATAACAATTAGCCTCTCACCCTCTCCTCTAGGAAAGTCTCTTACTCTTAAGTGGAGCTCTGAATTGTATGAACCATACAATACTGAAAACCTGGGGAGAGAAATTTACTGTTGGTTGCTTGAAAGAGAAAACTGCCTCTCCTGTAGAAAAATATCATGGCAAATGCTGTCCAAAAAAAGATTTTATGAATAGAGTCAGATTCCAGCAGGCAACAGAATGTAGAAGATGTCCTTTAGCTATGCCTAGAAGATCTTGGGCTTAAAAGTCGAGTCAGGCATCTGTAATACCTACCAATTTCAAAACTACCATCAATAACTCCCACCAGTGAAGAAGGAATATCAAACCTTCTCTCTATCTGAGTGATGGTGCTCTTCAGATAGCCTTCTGCCAATGCTTTGGCAAAGTAAACGAAGGACAAGGCACCCAAGAACACCTGGAAAACATGACAGATCACACTTAGTCTGACTCCAGTTGGACACACAATTGGAAACTTACTAAGCAGTCAAATACAAAACAAATAACAAAGAACAATGCGTAATATCAACTTTATTATCACTGAAAATTTAATTGAAACACTAGTCAAGGTTTCCATCAGCCTTTAACACAACACATGTAGATTTTCAAAAGTTCAAAAATGCTCTTGGAATTTAAAATATATATTTTGTTTTTATGTGAAGTGTGTGTTGAATTCTCTTTTGTCTTCTTCCACCCTGCTCCAAAGGGATACTCAAAGGAGTCTTATATTGAAGAGTCAGTGTATGGTGTCATTCATTGTTAAGAAAATAAAACAAATGAAACCATAAGCCAAACACTTGACATCTTGTAACAAGTCCAGCACTTGGAATTATGTATTTCACAGGGTGGTGCATGCACCAGCAGGAATCATAATGCATAGACTGAAAAAGTGCAACTATTATTCCTTGTGTTTATGTTTATACTTATTAAATTCATAATCAAATTTTTTTCAATGGAAAACATGTCTTTGATATCTAGCTTACAAAGTTTGCTAGACATGAGTCTGTGATGGAACATTCATAGGGAAGGTGGTTAGCATTTATATGAAAAAAGCAAAGATTTGTTGAGTGAATATTTGTATAAAGAAAGAACAGAAGCTTGGAGCACAGAAAGCACGCTTTAAAAAGCAACACTTCTTACTGTGTAATATTATTCCCATTTTTATTTGCAAAATTGGAGTAATATGATGCTACACAGATTAAATGTTATATCTGTGCTTGGCATAGTATCTGGTACATGGCAGAAGTTCAATAAATATTAGTTTCTACTGTCTCTCTCTTTTCTATTTAGGAGGGGCATTTAAATGAGCCCAGGAAAGTAATTTAACCCACGTAATCAGGCAGAGATTGCTTGCACTGTCTGGCAAGGTGTGGTTTTAGTAAATTACATCTAAGATAGTTAATTTAAAAGGAGAAGAACTTATTCTAACTTCATTATATAGAAGATACCTGGATAGAAAGCTAAGCGCATTAACCGCATTTACTTCTTGGTTACTCTACCTTTAGTTCACCACAGCATGGTTGCTTTTCCTCTGAGGAGGGATATTCTGTTTTAAAAGAAGGCCTTCCAATAGGTTGCACTGAAGTTTTGCAGAATAACTGGATATTTTCTTTGGATGAAGTGTCCATTATAAAAACGTTCCTTGACTCTGATCTGTCAAAGTTAGTTTTTAAAGTAAAAATAAATACTACAACATTTATTACTTTTTTAAAAATTTGACAGTATACCACAATTCTATAGACCTAATTTAAAGTGGATCTACCTTTTGTTGTCACAGTAAGTTGGCAAATTTTTTCAATTAAAATCAACTAGGATATTTGATTAACTAATCCTGCTATTATTGGAACTCTGTAGCCAGCATTCTTTCTCAATCCCTCCAGTTTAAGCCTCATTATGGCAAAGAATAAATTTCAGTGTTGCCTTTGGAATAAATAACAAGGCAGAATTTTGCTAACTTTGTGGTCTTGCCAGTTTAAACTGGGAGTAAGCAGGAAAGGAAAAAGAGGAATTCAACTATTTGAATATTGATTCATTAGAATAAAGTCTTTAAAGCCTTTAAATCTATCTTCTTAGTAAAACAAATAGAAAAATTTGACATTCATTATAGATCCCTATACCACCTTATGAATGATTCCTGTAGCACCCAAAGTGAGGCTTAAAATATGACAGAAAAAGAAGAGGTCCAATTTGTGTATTGTTTTTGTTTGACAAATAAGGAAGCAAAATGATTTGTGCTTCGGGCTTAGATTTAATTCAGGTGAAAAGGCAGTCTTTGATCTGCCTTAAAGTAAAAAAGATGGCCTTGCTTCCCATGCTCCATTTCCCGCCACCCTTCACAGGACAGGATCACACACTGAACCTATTTTCTCTCTGTTCACATCAATATGTACATATCCTGTGCCCCTACTTCTTTAGAATTCCACGTGGCTCAGTGCCTGCCTGATAATCTAACCTAAATCAGTAATTCAACAAATAAAATGATTTCTGGGTCTTCCTAGTATTTTCAGATGACACAATGGTATATTGGTAGAGAACTGCTACATCCACCTCATACCAAAGGAATAACATTAGGAGTCAGATTTTGTGTATTATGGCAGAAACTTATTCTAACTATGTGTATATCCCCTTGACTTTCTGCAGTGCTTGTTCTGTGTTTACTAAACTTCATCCTTCATTATTTCAATTCGTAGATACCATCTCAAACTGAAAAATCAAGTAATAGTAGTATACACAATTTGTTTTATATTAATAATATGAAATTAAAGCATAGAAGACCTCAACAATTTAAAAGTTAAGTGGATTCTTCTAGGGAGTTGGAAATGAGTAAAGATGAGGCACAAGAGCCTGATTTTACAACAAATGATTGTTAGGCTTTTTGATTCATTTTATAAACATGCATAACTTTAGTTTTTTTAATTGAAAAAGAAAAGAGTGAAACCAGAAATAATTAAAAATAAAAAATAAGCTAAACAAAAAGCTAATAATGCTAATCAAGATTGAAAAAAAGACACAAATATATATTAATGACCTAAAAACACAGATATTTAGGAATATAAAACATAAAAAGATGCATAGAATATAGAAATAAGTTTAATACCTTGACTTAATGGATAATTTTCTACCAAATATTCATTACCTCTATTGATATAAACCAGAAAAGAAAAATAGCCAAGAAAGACATTATCAAAAATATTCTGAAACTATTCCCTAAACAAAGATAGTAAGGATAGATGATATACCAGAAGTACTTTATCAAGGGATATTTTTTGAGGAAAGATAGCAGATAATGGAAACATAATAATTGTCTCCATTAGTTTGACAAAAATAAAATCATCTTGGTAACAAAACAGCATAAAGATAGCACAGAAAGGAAAACTTCAGATTCAGCCCAAAGATTATAAAATTCTAAGTAAAATGCTAGCAAATCCACATTAGCTCTTATTCTATAATTAGAATTATTCTAAAAGATGCAAAAATTGGCTACTTGAATTCATTCACCTAAATTACCACGTGAATGATTTAAAAAAATAGAATTTCAGTAGATAAAAACATCAGTTGATAAAATTCAACATCTATTACTGATTTAAAAAACAAAGTTTAAGAAATGAAGAATATAGGTATTCTTCTTCACCAGAATCTGATAACATCAGCCAACTTCCTCAGTCTACTGAGTCACTAGGACTACTTTTCTAGAACAGTATTTTCCAGAACAATGAAAACAGGGTTTGGGAAGCACAGAGTTCTACAATATTAAATAGATATTTTTACTACAAAACTAAGAGTAAAAATATATTATCAAGCGAAAGATATACAAACTGGAAATATTTTAAAATAAGAAATGAATAATTCTTAAATTTATAGCTTAAATTGCAATCTTCTTCAAAGGATGAAATTATATAATTAAACTTGGCCTTCTGTTTTAGGGATTCAGATATCATCTTATTTCTCATAAGTCATAATATTAAATCTAGTGATCAGAAAATACACATACATTATTTAATAATAAAATATGCTATTACTTATTCCAAATTTGTCTTTAAAAGATCCAAAGTGTTACATCTAGAATGCTAATGCCAAAGAGAAAAATAATTATGTTAAAAACACTGCTGAAAAGCTTGAGATACTGTAACACATTTTAAGTTATCTAATATATGGAGGTGTTGACACAAAAATCACTGTAACTGGAATTCAAAAGTGATAATGAAAGATAAATATAGTCATCTTAGTTCACGTTGTGTTAGGGCAAAATAGTATCCAGCTTAAACTATTGGCACTGCCTATCTTTACTGAAGTGTCTTGGTGTCTAATGCACAAATTATTGCAAGTGTAGTACGTTCCAAGGAGGCTACGGTTCATCTCCTGTAAAAAGAGAGGGAAGGAAGCTCAATGACATGAATGGAAAGATCCTTGGAGCCTTCAGGCTCTCTCTCTTCATTTGCAACTGCAGAAGTAGAGCAAGAGTACACAGTTATTCAGAATGATTTGCATTTGGCAAATCGTTAATTGATCTCTGGCCTCTTGAATAGATTCTTCCAGGAAAAGACATATGACAGTTTTCATCCAATATCCTGGGTTTGGAGTGAAGTCAGAGAAAAACAAGCCAAGCAGTTTCTCTTCCTCTGAGTTCAAAAAAATTGAATAATCTGTCCTCATGAGTTTGATAATCATCTCTCCAGATTTTAAATGTAGAGAGCAAGTGGCTTACGAAGGTTGTAGTTAGATCACACAGATGTACTCAACCCCTCTGCTCTGCAGTTGACTCGGACTCTGTCCAGCAATCAGTCTCCAAGGACTGCCACAGAGAAAGTCCTAAAGGCAACCACGCTCCTCTCTCTCTTCTGGTCATCTCCCATGAGGAAAACCTCTGTCCTGGCTTGACTTCTAGACACCAGGATGACTGCCTTCAGACGAGCTGAAAAATAGCCTCATGGCACTTGCTGGAGAGGAATGCTTGTTGTTTGGAAACTAATTTCCCACCCAATACAAATTATTTGTGTCAGATTCAGATTTAATAAGTACTATTTTTGTGTGTGGTGATGTATGTACCTTTTCTAATCCTTAAAATAACTCAACAAGCTTAGTATTAAAATTCTATGTTTAAAATTAGATGGCCCAAAGCAATTAAGTGACTTGTTGAAAGCTAAACAACTTCTAAGTATCAGACTCAAAATTTGAGCTCAGTTTTGAGTTTATCTGATTTCTTTAACCAATCTCCTCTCTTATTTCCACCAGAAACTAATGAGGGGCTTATCACCTCGCATTGAGAATTTTTGTGGATAAAACCTAAATAGCACAGAAATTAAGGGTTAACTAATCTCCCATAACAATCTGATCTATTAATCACAAAACATGAAATGAGAGAACCAAGTCTTACCTGGAGATAGAGATCAAAGAGAGCCAGTTCCTCTCAATGTGCTCAGCAAGACTGAAAGAGGAAACTGAGGTAAACTCCACAGCAATTTTGAACAATTTTATCAGGTGGGGAGAGCATGGGTGGACACAGGCAGAGCAGATTAGGGAAAAGAAAAGATGAAGGGCATGGTCTCACCCCTCAGGAGTCGCTTCTCTTTCCTCTTTCCTCCTGGCCTCTTTTTTCTGGCAGTCAGCAGAGAATTGGCCAGGCTGGCAAGGCCACTGACGTGCATCTCAGCTCCCAGGGCACAGAAAGAGCTGAAGCTTTTGAGCCATTTCTTTGCAATTTGCTGCAAGTTTAAGGCCACACGTGATAAAGCTTTCTTTATGGGAGAGAGCGAAAAAAAGAAAAGACCACTTGTGATCTTACTTGCTGATTCCCAGAAAACACAACTCCGCAGGGGGCAGAGGGTAAGGGAACAGAAGCCAGAGGAGGGACGGAAGTTTATAACAAAGACCCCTCCTCCTTCCAAAAAGTTTTTAAGCCAACTATTCCTTAGGGACATCACTGGGATCCTTATATTTTCTTTGTTTGTTTTTGTTTGTTTTGTTTTGTTTTGCTTTTAATGGTTCTTGGGCTAGTTTCCTACATGATTTTCTTTTCCATTGGTATTCTAGAATCTTTAAGGACCAAGTATCAGGTCACGAACAAAGCTCTGCAGGGCTCTGTACAGAAAAAGTTAATTCTCAGAGACATGATCAGTTGCTCATATTTACAATTTCTATGAGTTTTGAAAATGGGGAAAAAAACACATTGAATTTTTGGCATTCAATTATTTATTTTGCCTAATTTCAAGGATAAAGAAATCCTTGCACTGAGAAAGTCTACACTTTTAATAAATTCCTTTTCCAAGAGAACAACCTTAGAGGGTCTTAAGCATTATAGTTTGCATGTGCTTTCTACCAACAAATAAATTGGCTGCCAGAATTATCCAAGATTCACCCTCCTCTTAAATGGCTGAGACTCTGGGATAGTCACTTAGTTTTACTGAGTCTCAACTTCTTTCTTTGTAAAGCAGAATTTTTTCTTAAAAAAAATCAGATTTATAGGGCTGTTTTAAGAATTAAATTATATAATGTATTCAAAAGCACATTGCAAATAAATGACTAGATGGTATAATTTTTTATATATTTAGTTCGCATAAGAGTCAGTATGGTTAATCAATATCATTCAAGCACATTTTACTTCAAAAGAAAGAAAAGAAAATGCAAGACAAATAGGGTTTATCTTAAACCTTTCAATGAAGCAATGGTGTATCCAGACTCTGAAAGGCCAAATATTTTATTTTAACAATCAAACCAGACTTTTCCATTGGAAATAGTGAGCAAACATTTGAATACACTGAGTGTTAGTCTAGACTTTTCAGTGTCTAACAGGTGGCTAAGCTGCTGTTTTATTAAAGAGGAGATCACATTTATAGCCCAAAGGGCATAGTTTTCCTCACCAAGAAATGAAATTCTCCCCTGAGAATGTAATTTGATCTATTCCAAACTGACTCAATTTCACTCTCCAACATGATTCCTTTTCTTATTTCCAGAGCCCATGGTTAATGTTACGGTTAATTTTTACGCTTATTCAGAGCTCTTATATGCAACCTTGCATTGGATTGTAGCCTACTTCAATCTTTCATTCCATTTCCAAACTCTAGACCAGGGGTTAAACTTCTTTATAAAGGGACAAATAATAAATATTTTAGGTTTTGTAGAACTATGCAGTCTATCACAACCACTCACCTCTGCCATTGTGGTGGTAAATTTACTACAGACAATATATAAATGAATGCATTTCTTAAGACTGCAGTAACAAAGTACCACAAGCTGAGTGACCTAAACAGAACTTTATTGTCTCAGACTTTGGGAGGCCAGAAATCCAAAATCAAGGTGTCAGCACAGCCATGCTCCCTCTGAGACCTGTAGGGAAGAATCCTCCTTACTTCTTCCAGCTCCTGGTATTTGCTGACAGCCCTTGGAATTCCTTGTTTTATGGGAGTATCATTTCAACAGCTACCTCTGTTACTACATGGCCATCTTCTCCCTTTTTATCTCTGTCTTCTGTTCTTAAAAAGACACTAGTTTTCTTTGTCGAGGATCCACCCTAAAGACCTCATCTTAACTTGATAATGTCTGCAAAGACTCTGTTTTCAGAAAAGGTCACATTCACAGGTACAAGAGGTAAGGACTTCCTCATATCTTTTTGGGAGACACAATTCAAGCCAAGACACTCATATTCTCATTTTCCTCCTTACTTGAATTGGTTCATGCAATTATTTTAATCACTTTCTTCTATGTACCCTCAATTCTCCTGTTTCTCTTTCAATTTATTGATCTTCCCGGGAAAACCTCACCTCAGTTGAATCCGTTTTCTGTCTCCTTAGTATTTGCATCCACATTGTTTTATTTATTTTATTTTTATTTTTTTGCCAATCAGAAAATCTTTATTTTTTTTAGTATATATATTATTTCAGGTTTCGGGGTACATGTGAAGAACATGAAAGGTTGTTGCATAGGTACATACATGGCAGTGTGGTTTGCTGCCTTCCTCCCCATCACCTATATCTGGCATTTCTCCCCATGTTATCCCTCCTAAACTGTTTTAAATGATTGAAGAACAAGTCAGGAACATACCCATAGTGCTTATTTTATGTGTATATCCACTAAACTCACTGAGTCATAGAGGCATTGCTAGAAGTAATACATTTTAATGACCGAGTCACTTTACTTCTCTCAAATCTTCATTTCTTGCTGCACCCTGATTATTAGCTGATGATCTTGTCTAGGAAATTCACTAACGAAACAATTATAAGAAGAAATTTTACAATCTGTCCTCATTGACATCTATTCTGCACCCAAATGTCTGTTGCTATTAGCTGTCTTCCTTCTTGCACCTACAGTCCATATTTCAAAGCCCAAACTTTAGTCTGTATTCCTTGTATATAATTCTTCTCATCCAGTTCATTTTTCACCAACCTCTAATCGGTTTTTGCCTTCACCGTTCCCATGCAAGTATCTTCGTCCATAACGTTAAAGGTATTCACAGCAATAAATCCAGTGATCAATATCCAGACCTCATTTTAATTGGTGTATTAGCAGAATTGTATGCCATTAATGTGCTCGTCTCTTTGATACATTTTATTCACTGGTTTCACCACACTCCCCTGTTTTTTCTCCTACTTCAGTGGTCATTTGCTCTTAGTTTTCATTGCTGGAGTATTCCAAAATTCAATCTGTGGAATATCTTCTTTGCTGTCGATATTTACTTCCTTAATGACCTCATCTGGTGTCATGGCTTTAAGTATATATATAATACAAGATCTAATGAGGTTAGGGAATATTTTGTAGTCCCAAATTTGAGTTAAGAGTTTTTCAGTCTGGAAAAATGCAGGAGAGAGAGAGAGAGACAGAGACAGAGAGAGAGAGAGAGAGAGAGAGAGAGAAAGAGAAAGAGAGAGAGAGAGAGAGGTGTATTAGCTCTCTCCACTGAAAAGGTCTAAAAACAATAATCATCTAAGTAGCAATAGGTGCAACTAGCACCGTAAATAAAGACACCATGGATCCTTGATATGTGACTAATACCAGGTGTAAAGATATAAGATGGGCCTGGAACATCTTGTGGTAGAAAAGAGCTAGGATACCGTGAAGAGTACATTGTGCCAATAGGATTCAGAAGACAACCTGAACAGGCTGCTGCTAATCAAATACAGGAAAGTTTGAGCATCAGTAAGAATAGAACACATGGACACAGGGAGGGGAACACTACACACTGGGGTCCGTTGGGGGGAAATGGGGGAGGGACGGGGGGGTGGGGAGGTGGGAAGAGATAGCATGGGAAGAAATGACAGATACAGGTGAGGGGACGGAAGACGGCAAACCACACTGCCATGTGTGTACCTATGCAACAATCTTGCATGTTCTTCACATATACCCCAAAACCTAAAATGCAATAAAAAAAAAATAACTACTGGTTGAAACATATAAAATAATAAAATTTATGAATTAATAATGCTATAAAACCATGTAGTCACTTTGGAATAATTCTAAATACAACTTAAATATTAATATATTTAAAACTAGTGGTACTTAGGGAGAAATTCTGTGTTTATCCTAGCTTTCCTATTCCATACTTTCATTAGAGTTATTACAGAATAAAGACAAATTTCTCTTCATAGAATGATTTCAAATAATAAAAAAGGATGAGAGAATAAGAATTTCATAATTTTCTTTTTTTTCTTAGAGTAATTAATATTTATTTAACTATAATCCAATCTTAAAGTATCCTGAAAGCATTTGATAAGGTTTTGAAGTTAATACCAGTGCAACCTTGGTTCAGTCCAACAAATAGCCTGGAAACAGTGACTATTCTCCAGAGATGACAAATTTATTTCTAGAACAATTTAATAAAAACAAGATTAAAAATGCAAAATCCTCAAACTCATTTGATTCAAATGCAAAGTTTAAAGAAAAAAAAAGTAGAAATATACTATAATTTTCAATTGCTTTTAGATTGGTAGAGCTCTAATGGGTTTTATTTGCATAGCTTGGTTTGTGTGGCATAATTGAGAAACTGAGAAAGTAGTTATTTATATGGATGATTCTTAATGGTTCTGAAAAACACCTGTTAATATAATTAGTTCAGACCCTCTATATATTAAAGCTTTTATAATTCTATATTAACTGCAAGCTGATTAATTTCTAGAACTAAGCTATTACATATTTATTTTTACAATTTTTATTTTTACTTTAGATTCAAAGAGTACATGTTCAGATTTTTTACTTGGGGACATTGTGAGACTCTGAGTTTTGGGGTACAGATGATTCCGTCATCCAAGCAGCGTGCATGGTACCCAATAAGTAGTTTTTCAGTCCTTACCTTTCTCCTCCATCTTCCCCCTCAAGTAGTGTGCCATGTCTATTGTTTCCATTTTTAGGCCCACGTGTACCTAATGTTTAAACCCACTTATAAGTAAGCATGTTATAATTTTCAAATCCTCAATTAAGTAATGAATTTAGAGAAAGGTAATCAATGACCAATAATATCATCAAAAAACTGAAGCCATTTTGAACATCCTGATGGAAGTTTAAAGCTTGAAATATCATCTTTGAAATAGTCCTCCTTTATATTTCCAAAGAAAATAAACGTATCAACTCTCAGATGAGATTTAAATACCAGTCCATAAGAAATATAGGGAAGAGAAGAGCATGTTAAATGACACTGCAAAGATGCCATCAGCAAAACAGAAAGTAAAGAATCTGTTTAAGACAAATAACTCAATAATTTTTTTCCGACCAAAAAGTGCAAGGAAAACAGGAGATGAGGGAGAAATTGTATATTATAACTTAAGAAATGAACTGACCAATTACAATGTATAGACTTTGTACCCCTATTCAAAAAGAAACAAACTATAACAAGAAGACTTCTT